AGTAAAACCTAATATTTTCATTCTTAATTATCTAATTAAGTTTTTTAATAATTAAACTACAACTAGAATTACTATATTTTAGCTGGCATGAAATGGGAGTTTTAGACATGACAACAGCCATTGACTTCGTTTTAAATGAAACTGGGTATTCTAAAATTGACATACTCGGTTATTCTCTTGGCACTACAATGGCTCTGGCTGGTCTTTCAAATAGGCCAAAATACAATGATAAAATCAATAAGCTCGTTCTAATGGCACCGACGTCGCGGTTGAAGGAGTTAGGCATGCCGCTCAGTATGGTTAGACGTTACGCAAGACTGATTACGGTAAATAATTGTGATAATAAAGTAGTAACCTATGCAATTCTATAATGAACAGTTTTGTTTTTATATTTGCACTGTGTGGCATCGAAAACTGAAAAATAATGTATCGATATCAATGTAATGTTTTAATATTTCAATACAAATGTATAGGTGTTTTTGAATCGCGTCAACTTTCTCCGTTTTTCTAAAGATCCAGACACGAAATATCGAATGATCAGTAACATATGTAGTGTAAAATATGTTTTTGAAATATGTAAATGGTTCATCGACCTAGCTCAAGGCGTTAGCACACCCTTAAGTAACGTATGTATCAATAAGACATTGATGATTCTTTGGGAAATTATATTTTTGTAATTTATTGCGTATTTTATGGAGCGTTGTTCAAAATATTACTTAAGAGGAAGATGATATATTACTTAACCTAACCTGGTCTATCTGATACAGTATTAAATAGAGCTTCGAATTTAAACCTGTTAAATATCAGGTTCCATTTCAGAATTTTGCTAAGTTGAGTTTATTCGCCCCAACCATTGGAACATGCATTTAATTAAGTAATCATTATAATTTTGGATGAAATAAATTTGAAAACACTAAAAAAGTTATGTTTTGTCGCACAAGTTTTCCATGGACTTAAATAATGTATACTCTGCTCATCCGATCTTATAGCAAATATAAGATGCAATTTTGGTTCATATTTACCAATAGTTGGGTCTGACCCATTTATAACTTATATAAAAAAAATCTAAGCTATATATTAGTTAACTTTATATGCGACTCAATGTAAATAATTTGTACAAATTTAATACTGATTATTAAAAAAATATTTTAGGACTCTGTGGTGAGTATTCTGTCAGTATTTCCACAACCAGTATCCTCTCGAACACTAAAACATTATATTCAACTTATGATATCCAGTAAGTTCTGGTAGTAGTATATGAAAATGTTAAATAATGTTTATATTGCTATTTTATATATTTCTACTCCAATAATTAATACGACTTAGGACGTTTAGTTCAGTTTCAAAATAACAATTACAAAATTATAAGCAAATTCACAAAAGTGATATGCTTTATCAACGTGATATTTTGTTTGTACTATTTAGGGAGATTTTGTCATTATGATTTTGGCCCTGCTGCAAACATGAGACTCTATGGCACTGTCAAACCACCGGATTACAATTTATTCAAAGTTACTGCTCCGACATATGTGATACACTCGAAAGACGATACTATAGCTTCTCCGATGGTAACTTATAATTACTATATACCATCATAACCCGCCCAGTTACATTTTAAACTATTACAGGGACGGTAAATTATTAAAAATTATTGCTATTACAAACCGGTAGCGAATTGTATTATCCTTGGAGCTTAATATTTTTCAATTATCTTTAAAATGTAAAATTTCGGTGAGTATATTTTTAATACAAATGCTAGTTCATTTATAAATGAATATGCTTGATTTGTTAAATTTATCCAAAGACCAGTAATCTTGCGTAAGTCTATCTATACCGAAATAAAACAGAACCTTATATCGGTTTTATATCGATGATTTAATTTAAAGATTGTTTAAGTATAAAATAGGTTTACTGTATTCTAATAAAGAATACAAATAATAATACCAAAAACTTGGTGTATAAAATAGTCTATATTTCAACCTCTCGAAAGTGTAACACATGTATTAATGCTGCAAACAAATGCAATGATAAACTAACGTAGGTATAAATCACACAAAAACAAAAGTATTTAAAATCTAATTTTCAATGTAATCATAGAATTTTCATTTACAATAATTATCCTGAACAATAAACTCGTGCTCCACAGTGTTATTAATCACAATAATTCTTAAGCATTTATCGTATTGTCATTTCCAATGTCATACTCGACGTATTTAATATTATGAAAATTGTATTTTCAGGACGTCAAATGGTTAGTAAACAATTTACCAAATGTGAAGTACGTGTACTATATTGACAACGTTCTGTTCGGCCATTTGAGCTTTTCACTTAGCCCGGATATGAAGGAACTTGTGAACTTGCCTACAGCCCACTTTTTGTTAGACGATACGCATGAAAATTCGGTTAGAAAAAGAAAAGTATCCTCTTGATAAATTATTTGTTTATAAACATTTTTCTTGATAATTCTATTGATTTAATCAATGAGTTATGATCGTGAAAATGTCTTAATTTTTGTTTCGTGCTTAGAGTATATCGAAATGTAAAATGTGTTCAGTATGCATTTATTTGTGTTTATATATGTAAAAATGTTTAACACAATTTCAGTTCCCCATTAAAAACACAATAAATTTAAGAAATCAATTCGTTATTGTATGCGTGTAATATGTGTCAATGTTACTATTAGTTACTAATTTTGTTTAAAATGTTTTGCCGCTACTTCATATTTATTTTGTTATAATTTGTAAATTTTATCAAAGTGTAATCAAATTAACGACAAAATAAAATTATAATTAATTAAATACAATTTCACCAATGTATCATTATTCTTGTACCTGAGGTATTAAATAATTTCTTGGTTAAACTTTAAAACCATTAAATATTATTACATTTGACCATACTCGCCTAGAAAATATCATAATTATATATTTATATGTAGACATTGTACCTATAGATATATATTTTGCGTCTATGATCTTGGACCGGGGACTTCGTTAGCAAGTAATTATGTTATATAATATAAAATAGAGATGTGTTGTTTTGTTAAATAAAAATAATATAGTTGAGATATCCACGAAGTTGTTTAAGTAGTTACAAAAGTGGTAGCTTCAAAGAAAACTGCAACAACTATCGTACTATAGCCCTAATTGCTCATACAAGTAAGATTATGCTATATGTAATACAAGAAAGGCTAAAATCATATCTGCTCTCGCAAATCTCCCAAGAACAAGCAGGATTTGTCCCGGGAAAAGGAGCAAGGAACCAACTTATATACATCCTACAGCTAGTAGAAAAATGCTATAAATATGCATTCATAATATTACAGCTAATATTACAGCTATTTACTGTTCCTAGATTATGCTAAGGCTTTTGACACCGTTAAATGGAATCTTCTGTGGCTCATTTTAAAAGAAATGAGAGCTCCAGAGCACCTAATAGCAACAATAAAAATAATTTATGCCAATAATCAAGCGTATGTCTGTGTCGAGTCCAATCTCTCCAAGAGTTTTCAAATAGGACAAGGCGTAATACAGGGCTGCATATTATCACAATTACTTTTTAACATATATTGAGAATAGATAATGAGACAAGCTTCGCAAGAATGGAATGGAGGAGTATCCATTGAAGTATCAAATTTAAGATACGCTGATGATACGGTGCTATTAGCTAAATCAGAAATGGAAATGACCAATTTTCTAGAACTAGTAGACAAATTTAGCAAGGAGGCAGGCCTAAAACTTAATAGATCAAAATGCTCAATAATCGCTATTGATAGGACCAAAACATTACCTCCCACGTTTAGCCTCATAGCCGATATAGATCATAAAGACAGTATAATATGAAGGGCTCCGGTAAAAAAAATCAATGTCAATTTTTTTTAAAAATGAGATTTTGGTATCAAATTATTTGTATTGACGTATTGTATCTTTTATGCGCTCGAACCAGGAAAAAAAAAATTAACTAGTTACCAGGTACTAGGTTAGAGTATTTATTATGAGATATTTAAATCCAACTCTAACACATTAAAAATACTTTTCAGTAATTGTTCAAAAATTAAGACAAACCTATAGAAACCAATTAAATGTATGTTATTTATAATATAACAAATATAAAGTTTAAATACTAATAATAGGACAATACAAGGTGTAAATACCCTAAGTACCTAGCAGATATTTAAAAGATTACTTTAAAGGAAAAAAAAAACATAATATTTATTCCTATTTTCTAGATAATTTATCATGACACCAAGATTTGTTACGAGTAATTTACAAGTAGCAATACATCGTCATAAAATAGAGTATTAGTAAATAACATTCTTCAATATTATGAGTGACGCAGCTGCCTTCCTGGGTTACAGAATAGTTCATTAGTCAATAGTCAAATAACCTTGAACACGGTACAGCAATAAATATTTAATAATCTATGGATAATTTATACACGCATCGCAAACAAAGAATAATTATTAAACAAACACATCAATGCAAATTCGTTTTCGACTATTAAATTCTTATTAAAGTACACTTATAGTAAAAAGTTATTAATGTAATATATCATTATTTAATATTAACTTTTTGGTCGGTTTTTGTATTACCTATTGGTTATTTAATATAATAGGTAATACCTGGCGAATGTCATGGCAGGATTTTCAAAAAACAAATTTTAAAAGAGTGGTCAATCATTTTCAAAATGTTTCAAAATTGTGTCTAACGAATAAAACTTAGTTATTGATGGAAAAGCCATAAATTTTAATTGGTTTTATTAAAATAAAAATTGTTCTATACATTACTATAAAGTTAGATATTCACGCCCTTCAATTAAAGAAATTATTTTAATGACTATACATAAAATAAATAATAAAAGATGATAGTATTATTTTTAATATATTCAATATTTCATGATTCAATATAATCCCAAGTACTAATAATTACTTGCCTTATATGAACATTGCGAAACTATAGTCAATACCGCTTCACAATACTTAAATAATGTACTATTTTAATTTCCAATATTATGGTAGTTATTTAAAGTAAAAATGTTATGATATTTAAACAAATGAAATTATATTGTTATTTCCTAATTTGAACTATATTTATTACGTTAAATACATTGTTATCAATTAAAATTAAATTAACTTGTTGAACAAATTATATTAGTTTGGTTTATAATAGAAATGAATATAAATAGGATAAAATGTTTAATATCTTTCTTAACAATTATGGCCGTTACACGATTACATTCTGCGCTTCAAACTGTAAGTACTAAGTTTAGTTAGTTTAGTTTTTTACTTACAAGTTGTAAGAATGGTTTACAATCTGTTAGGTTAGGAAAACATTTTTAATGAACTTAGAAGTTTGAAATTATTTAACTAATTTAAAACTCCAAAGTATTTAACTTAAATACTAAAATAAATACTCATACTAAATAATATATTTTCTTAATTTTTTAATTTATAAAAGTATAAATGTAATCTATTTTTAATTTTTCATAACTACATCTTAACCAATTGTATGAACAATACAATTGGACATATGTTTTGCGCATTTTAAATTTCAAACGCAGTTAAAACCAAATAGACCAAGCTAATTAGTTAAGGTCGGACAACGTGCGTCTTAAAGTTCTGTGGAAATCGAACCACGTACCTCTATTAAATATTTACATTTTGACTGCAATACAAATTTATTTTTATTAAATAATAATCATTCATCAATAGTAAAGTCAGAAAGTTCTAGAAAAGTCATCATAGTCATCAGCTATAACATTTGGAAAAAATATTTTATTTTTATTTATTATTTGCTTAAAAATATTTAAATTTTGAAATATATTTATCAATAATAGTTTTTTAGTTTTAATTAATTTTTTTCACTATTTTAATTTAGGGCGATAAAATTTTAGAATATGGCTACCCGTTGGAAATTCATGAATTCCAAAGTGAAGATGGTTATATGTTAGGTTTTGAGCGAATACCACACAGTAAATACAATACAACTGTTGGTAAACCAGTTTTGATGGTTCATGGTTTATACGGAAGCTCTATGTTCTTCTCCGTTCTTAACACATCGCTTGGTAAATATTGGTTATTTCACTATTTAATTTTAAGCTTTAAATTATAAAACAAGTCTAACGGCTTATTCGTTATCGGTTATAGTTTTTTTTATTATTAACAGCTAAATACATAATATAGATGCACATATCATATTGTTATATATTATGTATTGTAATTTTAATAACCTCGAAAATCATGTTTTTTGAGTTATGTCACTTTTTAAGCGGGGGTGTGATATAGTGAATGTGTATGTGAAATATGTGGCAGATTATGTTGAGTATAGGTTAAAGATAAGATTGAGGCTAGGTAAAAGAACAACTTAATTTTTAGTATTTTAGGCTAACAACCGGGATTTATGTCTCAGTAATGATACGTGAAAACAAAATTGAACAATAAATTATGAGTAAATATGTTATGAATTATTAAAAATGATATATGTGAATCTAACTAATTTATTTTACTTTTTTTGGGCCTGCTACGTTTTCTTCAATTTATATTATTTTTGGAGAGTATGGTGTTAAATAGTAGTAACAATATTTATAATTATGTAGGTACTAATTATTTTTATACAAAAAATAAAATGTAAGATAATTTAAATACCATGGAGCTAGCGAGTGATTTTTATTACTTCTAATGACCAACAAATGGTAGCTTTGTAAAGTGTAAATGAAAAAAAAAAGATTCTACCCTGTACAGTGTACATCGGTAGTACTGTACCTAAAAAAATTCCCACAGACGTTTGGAAGTAAATAGACCATTTTTAAAAAAAATGTATAGCGTACCCTAATTTAAAATTAAAATAATGAAGATTTTTAGGGTGTTTTTCTTTGAAGAGGAAGTGGCAAACTATTTTAATTGTTGACCAATTAAATTAGCTTTTAAGTAAGATTTCTAATCTAAAGACTTGCTAAATGAAGAAATCGATTAAGCGGTTTTAGAAGCTATCATCCCACCACAAAAAAACATATAAAACACAATTTTATAAATAATACTTTCCCAGCTCCGCGTCAAAGCTAAAATAGATAAATGAACAGATTTAAAAAGTTAATATTACGAAGCTTAGATATTTTTTATGATACATTTTACCAAATTCCAGCAATATAATTTAAGCGAAATGGTGTTAAATAATATTTTAAATAATAATAATACACAAAAACTGTCTAATACAATTATATTTGTAGCTTTTGCTGTGTCAGATGCAGGATTCGATGTCTGGCTACTAAATTTCAGATTATCCGGTATTTCCAAAAACATTAAAGACCCAAAAACTGGAATTATTCCTCCATTGCAAAATACTTCGTGGGACTTTAGGTAATTAATACTTTAATTTATTTCAAAACTTAGCCTACGAAAGGCTATTAAATTATAGTAACATAATATGTGTACGCATTGGACATTGTTTTTACAAGGATAATGTCGTTAGTATGTGAACATTTATTTTTAATTTTCTAATAAAACCTTTAAAATGTCAATACGAAATGCGTACGTATTCGATATTGTACAATGACATACTTGTGTACATCACGTCTTAGTATTTTACAAAAATCATTTAGATTGTAATATGACATAAACGTATTTGTGTTAAAGTTTTGACGAGTTTGCCATTTACGATTTGACTGCTGCCATTGATTATGTGTTGAACATAACAGAACATGATAAAGTGGATTTAACTGGATATTCATTAGGAGGCACTATAGCTCTAATTGCGCTGTCAGAAAGGCCAGAATACCAGAGTAAAGTTAATAAATTAGTTATGGTAGGACCGACGTCTAGAATGAAATATTATAATGCTCCTGCTACTAGGAACTTCCCTTTATTAATGGTAAATTATTTTTTTCTATTATAAAATGATATAAACAATTATTTACAGTTATAGCATGTTACCATAGGAAAGAAGTACCTATCTATTTTGAAAATTTTTTTTCCTCAACTTTCATAACGCATATAGGATCTACTTTTGTACAAAAACACATGTTTCTACTTCAAACGTACTGTCCTTAAGAATACATCGATTTAAATTTATAAAAAACATTTGAATTCTTCACAACATTTTTAAGGCATCGAACAGTACGTTTGAATTAGAATGAGTCGTTTTCGACCAAAACTATGCAGAGACCCCTTAATAGATAACAAATTGTTTATTTTCAATTTGTTTATTAATTACTTTCTAGAGATTTATGAAAGGACGCGTGTACGTGCCTCACATTAAAGATTATGACAATCAACAACTTGGATACTACTGCTTAAAGGAAACATTATTTGCAAAATTATTGTGTACATACATCGTAAACGTAGTACAAGGACGAATTGTATCACATAACACTGTATGTATACATCAGTAAAACGTATAATACATTTAAATTTATTAAAACATTTTTACTTATATATTTTCACAATCATTGATATATATTTAGAATTTAATGCTACATATATAGGATCTAGTTGTATAATTAAAAAATTGTTTGATATTTAGAAAGCTTTAGAGATATTAAAAATATATCCACAGCCGACGTCTGTCAAAGTTATAACGCATTACTTTCAACTAATAAGATCAGGTTAGTAAAACAGTTTAATAATTGATTTACATATGTAACAGTAATCTACTAAGAGGTGAACAGTAAACTTTTAAGAGGAGTAAAGGGACGGCGTGGGTTAACCTACAATGGTTTTAAGTTTTATGCATTGATCAAAGGTATCAAACTTGTCACTGATGTAGCTACACATTTTCTCAGATCGAGAGATCGCCCAGTAAACAAAAAATCAGCAATAGGAATTTTTATAGAAAGGCCAAAAATCATTAAACCAACTTCAGTAATAAAGTCAATAAACTGATTATATAAAAGGTTTGGCCAGTTAACTAATTGTTATGAAAAATAAGATTAAAAAAAAATAGGTGACCAAATAAGAAAACATTAGAGATGGAGATATCTTATTATTCCCCCCCCCCTACTTTGGGTCGCTATTAGATATACCATAAGGTTAAGAGGCTTAAGCGGGACCTGTTTCCATGGGCAAACACATTTCTTATAGAAAAACTGTCACACCTCATTGAACTCGATTTCAACATATTTTTTTGTATCTAGACCCAAGATATCTTTTAAACCGCTAAACCAATTTATTAATGTAGAAACTTTATTTTCTTTGTCGGAAGAGGAAGACTTTACGGGGTGCAATGAACCTCGATTCGGATTACTCTACAAAGTGTGAGAGTTTTTTCTGATAAGCATGCTTTCACCATCTTAACAGCTAATTCTTGTAAAAATAATATGTTAAGTATTGTACCTAATAAGTAATACAAATAAAGCTAAAGGTAAGTTGACATAGTCAAAACTCAAATATTGTCTATCCCTATAGTTTGTTACTTTAACATTTTCGCGAATAGGGCCCTTGTGTAAATAGTTGATAGTTGATCTAAATGCATTATATAAAATCTATTAAGAATAATAATATAATATACTGGCTCATGTAATGCCGTGTGGATTATTATTGAAGTTTTAGAGTAAAAAATGTATGTTCCAGACCGTTTTTGCAAGTTCAACTATGGAAAACTTGGAAATCTTAAGTACTACAACTCCACTAAACCACCGGAGTATGATTTGTCAAAAATAAACGTCGCCGTCTATATTTTACATGCAAAAGTGGATCTTATTGCACCACCAAAAGTAATGCTAATGTCAATTTTGACAATACACCGATCTCCTGAATTATATTAAAGTTTAAACTAAATACTGTAAATGGTTACGGCTAATTAATTTTTTGTTATTAATTATATCGTATTTTTCTTACAATTTGGACTAATTGGATACTAAAAACTTTTATTTTTATTTTCAGGATATTCGATGGCTGATAAAATCTCTACCTAATGTAAAAAAAACCAAATGTGTTCAAGAAGTAAATTTTAGCCACTTGAGCTTTGTAATCAGCCCGATAGCAAAATATTTCGTAAACAGTTTTGTAGTCGATAGCCTGCAAGAAGAAATATAATTGTATAATATTTGAAACTATTCAAGATTGTTGTTTATACGAAGACGATGTTATATTTTCATGTTATCTAAATACATAATAAAATTGGGTATAAACTACAACTATTAACTACGGTTATGTTTTTTATACTAGGTAATACAAACTAAATGTTCCGCTTATTTATATTTTATATAAATAAATATATATAAAGTTGTACTATGATAATAATAATAATAATAATAATAACATAATCAAAATGCTTTTCTTTTTGTAATTGAACATTAATACCAAGCTAAACAACAGCGATATCTGCTAAAATCTTCCTTCTTTTTTGCCTTAGGTAGGTACCTATCCCATAACAAATGGAGTCAAACAGCCTAGATCTCTCTTTAAATTTCTATCTATCACAATTTCTTTATTCACTCCCCACACAAATCCATGTCTTTATTTATTACCTTCACTCATTCCTTAATTTCTTAATTAAGGATTTTAATTGAGCCTAATATAATTATAAATAAGTACACGCTTGGTGTGTAGGAAAAATATTAATTTTAAATTTATGACAGAAAACAGGTAGTTACCTATGGTATTTCTATAGAGGGTAGAGGCCAAAACAAGGGGGATAGATGAGACGATGCAGCAATGAGAAGCCGAGTGGGTCTTAGAAACTAAGGGCTCTTGGGCCCGTCGACTGCTGCCTGATGCTAAGAAATGGGTATCGAGGTCACATGGTGTTACCAACTATCACCTGACTCAAGGACGGAAATGTACATATTGCTACTAGAATTAAGTAAAACTGTTAGGCCGCCTCGCGAAGAGGAAGACGGGATTTTTGTAATTCCAATTTTATTGTAGGGGAGCTAATAAACGATGCTGCCTGGGACAGCTGGCAGGAAGTAGTGTGCAAACAGTTCTCTCTCAGGTTAGCGATTACTAAACAAATAAATTCTATAATGATATTAAAACGGCACTTCGTGTATGCGACTCTTGTGTAGATTGTAAATTTAATTTAAAAATTATATTTTTTCAACCTTGAGGTGCAAATAAAATTATGATACTGGTAACAACTTGTATGATGCATGTAACTTTATAGACTACTATGGATATAAGCTGGACGAGTTGACAATGTATGATAAATTCGTTATTAAATCTAATATTAGGAAGGTATTAAGCTACAATAGTTTAAATTTCAACTTTTAACTTGAAATTAACTAGAACTTATTAACATGACAATTGACTTGGTTCAAATATTGCAGAGGACTAACACTCTCAAATATTCTTCTATAATCTATTTTTTTTAAGCTGTTTGATACGGTTCTGTAGCGATATAAATGTAAGACAAACTTATTACATTGCTCTTTATAAGATTATTGAATATTCCATTGTAAACATTGTCACAAAATAAAAAAACATATACCACAGGAAAGATTTAAAGAAAAATAAAGGGATGAATTTAATACAATATTAAAATAAAATTTAAAATGTTGACATGTATTACAAACAAATTAAATGGCACGGGTTAACTATATAAAGTAAAAAATGTAAAAAAAAAAAAATACTATGCAGTGACCAATGATTATATAAAATATCAAATAATGCACATTATACTTGTTTGTATAGTGTACGCAAACAATTTAAACAAAAACAAACATTATGTATAAAGATTAAAATATAACATTTTATTACAATAATTCTTAAGTTTGAAATTATTTTGAAACGACTAGGTTAATGTGTTAATTGACTAGGTTAAATCAACAAACAATTTAATTAAAAATGTAAAGAAACTACACTAAAAAACATTATAGATTATTGGTAAGTAGTAAGTACCAACCACTATGCTTTGGTGTTAATTTTGTTATATTATTTTTACCTTTATCATACCAAACAGTGTGGTTTTATTGAAAAAATAATAAAAAAGTATACGTTTTTAAATGACTTTAAAAAAGGACATCATTACCATTAAGTAATTACTGATAGGTATTACATAGATCTTTGGTATTTTATTGGTAATAAAAATTAAAATGCATTTATTTGGTATATTTATTTTTTTAAAGAGCACATGGACAGTGCAATTAATACACGTTTTATATCAAGCACTTAAGCCTTATCCCTTTAAAATAAAATATATAATTAATAAATAAAGTATAACATACTAACGAAATTATTATTTTGTTATACTAAAAACTAAGCGCATCATATGTAATGAAAGTTCGCTTACTAAAAGTTTAATAACTAATAAGTTAGCACCAGTTATCTAAAGCAAAATAATTAAATCATTATCAATTATTATTAAGTACAAGTTAATTTCATTAATTAACTAAATATAAAAATTATTTAGTGCATATTATAGCACTTCTATTCGATAATTTATAATTTCTTTAAAAAGTTGTTAAAAAACGTACAAAACGATTATAGCTAAAATGTTCAACATTTATCTAGTGTAAAATATATTTAAAAATAATAGTGTTTAAAGAAATTTATTTAAAAATAGAAGTTTGTTATAAAAAATGAATGGAATACTACTTCCCTAACAATAATAACTAATATTTTAATTGTTAGAGGTAGTACTGAGCAATGTATAATTATTTTTGTTGTAAACATAATACAAATGTAATTTAATTTTAATTAAAGACTAAAATTAAAAAACGTTTTACAATAAATACATAGTTGTCAAATTAGCAAAATTAAAAAAACAATAATTTTAGTCAAAATAAACTTTGTGCTTATTATACTTTACTCTGTAACTTATGCATTTAAGGTAAATGTGTTATTACATATAAATATATCGCATATAATTTTTTTTATTAAATGAAGCTTGTACGTGTAGGTGATATTGATAAATATAAAATTTAAAACCATGTGCTGCTTAAGCAAAAATATAGTTAGCAAGTTCTTTAGTTTCTCTAGTTAATAAATAAAAAAATATTAACAAGGTAAATAACAAAAAGTAAAATTTCATTACTTTAAAATCAGTCTTAGCAGTTAAGCAACATTAATACAAAATACTAAACAATAATTTAAATTATTGTTAAATAATCAATAAAATATTTAAAAAAAAAATAAACAATTAATTAAGTGTTCTCATACAATACAGAATTGTTAATACCTTAAAAACATATGTAAACTGTTTTCTAACAGAAATTATTATACTTTAAGAGATTATGATTTATAAGATGTATTCACAAAAAAATGCGTCGCACACCACATTCAGAACAAAACTTAGCCATAACAATTGGGTATTTTGAACCGCATTCGTGGCAAAATTTGGTATACTTTGGTAACATTGAAGAGCTCTCTAAGTTTCTTTTTTCTTCTACTTTTCTATTTAAACTGTAAAAAAAAAAAGATTAATTATATGATAAATATTATTAAAAAGTTGTTTATTTTTACCCACTCCCCCAAAATTTTAAAGTGAATGGCGACAGTCAGCCACTACAAGACGGCCTGAAAGGAATCTCACACTGAAGCTGAAACTCCTTCCTGACCACGACCCACAAGTCACCATTTATCGGTTAATTTTTAATATTAAAGATAACAAATAAGCCTATGAAAATGCTAACAGAAAACAAATCACAAATAAAAAAATGTAAGGAATCTGAATTTAATATGTAATACATTACATACTGTAATTAATTTCATAATGTATTACATTATTTTTGTTATGTTACATCAATGACTATATAGAATGTATAAAAAAACATAAATAATCTAAAATTAAGCCACTTGCATTTCCATAACCTTAAAAGTGAAATTAAAAATTTGTAATTACAGCATTAATTTTAAACTAGTCGCACCAAATAAATTCATATTAAATTTATTTAGAAGGTTATTCATGTATTATTTTCTAAAAATTACAGTGTATTTATGTTAGAAGATATTATGAATCATAAGTAACACTTAATGTCACTTCAGTACATAATTTAGTCATTATATTATATTAATATAGTTATTCATTATATAGGGCAGGAATGGCTCTACATAGATTCTTTAAACTATTTCTAAATTTATTATAAAATAAGTTATAATAACCATGAGCAGATATAAGCGAATTTCAGTTGTCTCTAACATTTAGTACATGTGGTATTTATTGTTTAACAATATTCAATTGAATTATATACATTTTTTTGAAATTAAAACTTAATAAATATATTTTATTATTACAATAATAAAAGTATAGATTTTTTTTGAAATATACCACAAATAAAATACGTAAATTAAAACAATTAAATAGGTACACACAAAATTAACATCGAAAACTGGTTAGTGAATTAATTATTAAGTAGATACTTTAACTAGTAAATCTTATTTTAGTAAGCGAAAAAAATATTACCTAACAATCTGAATTATGCATTTAATTATAAAAAATTGATGACAAATTCAATTTTGGTGCCCTTGTATCCTATATTTTGTAGCGAAAATTTTTCTCTATACAATTATAAACAAATCAAGTACAAACTGTTGTAGTAATCGAGTATAATTAATAAAAAAATGGCACAGGATAATGATCTCAGCAGTAAAGGCCTTTAAAAATTAATAAAAAAAAAAAGTGAAATTATGTAAAAGGAACCCAAATTTATTTTAAATGAAACCTATGAGTTGAGTAAAAATAATTAATTGATGTAATTTTGTTTATTATTACTGAATTATATAACTATAATTGATTAATGTACTATTAGTGTATTGTATAACACAGTTATTAATTAAATTAATTTGTTCTCCTCAAATATTTAAATTTTAATAATAAAAGCTAAAGTTATGCTGTGTGTTGCTAGTGCAAAATTAATGTTGTTTTTGTTAATAATTTTAAAGTGTTATCTACCCGTGTTAAGGTGGTTCTTTTGATAATAGGAAAATCAGCAAGTGTCATTTTCCACATATGAACCCAATCAAACCGTGCAAATGTGCTGGTTGGCAATTGATGATCTCATTGACTGTTCGCCTTACCTTCCATAAGCAGAATCCACGCTGCTATTAGAATTCACCCCATTGATCATACTTAATGCTGAATTTCGGTTTAATGATGGAGATATTATATCGTCATCATCAGTCAGTTTTAGCAAATTCTCGAACTCGGACACAGATTTTAGAAGTTCTTGTTCTGCTAAATCAAATTTGAGTTCAGATGGATCTTTGTTGTCAGTATTGTCGCCATACAGCATATTCTCAATACCAATGTGTTTTTTAGGATTGTGAGAAACACTTCTTTTTAATGGACTTTTTATAAAATCTGTTCCCCTTACAACAGCACTATGAGTTTTATTATTAAAATCAGCTGACTCAAGACTTACTATTGAGCATAAACTTAAATTACTAAGACTATGCAAAGGATGGCGGTTAAGATTGGAATTAGAGAGATACTGCTCTGGGAATGTACTTTCGTTATTGTTTGGAGATGGTAAAGAATGGACTGGTGAATATTTGACAAATGCCGAAGAAGGAGATAATTGCAGATTTTCTATATTATCATTGGATTTTGAAATCATTGGGTTTATTAGACCTATGTCTACTATGTCGAGTTCGAGCTCCCTCATTTGCTGTTCAGCCGATTTGAATGGATCATAGTTATCCAAATGAGGATCACTAAAACAACATACCATTGAAAATTTTACATTAATATCAACAACTAAAATACATTTTTGAAATATAATATTGTCCATGCTGTTTTAGTAAATAGCTATACATCTAGTTGTGTATAAAAATATTGTGTAAAACATGATTCAACCGAACACAATTTTACTTAACTTTGTACTTTAATACAAAAACCATAGATTCAAAGCTTAAAAAAAATTATTAGTTATTAGTTTTTTAACCTCATTGTCAATTGACTTAGTATAAAATAACAACCACAGGGTCTTCTAAATACAAGAAACAATATTCCAGCTAGAAAGCAGCTTTTTTTGTTTGACAGTGAAATGAATCAGCGTTTAGCATTTGTATACATTTATTTTATAATTATTTAAGTATTAAATATTCTAATAATTTAAACGTGGCACCGAGTGAATTTTTATTATTTGTAGGTAATGATAGTTAAGAGGACTATACCCACCCATTTATTAAGAAATAAACTATAGGCAATTTTTTGTAAAATCTTAATTTAGAACTTAAACTGTATTATATGCTTATTAATACAGCAATGAAAATTCTTTATTGGTCGTTAGGTTTTTTAGTCATACTATCACAGTCATTTCTATAAACAATACTACAATTATTTACCATCAAAATAGATTTACGATAATCAAAACCTAAGTGTCTTGGAATTGTCACCTACTTGCTTAAGTGTTTTTAAATTTTCGATTTTTCAATCTAATAATTTTTAATAATTTATTGAAAAATACTAGAAAACCTAAGCTTAAAACACAAAATAAATACAGTCACATGTGTGGAAACGGTATACATATATTTTTATTTGGAAAAGACGACAATAAAAAAAAAGTATCCACACTACAATCGTTATGTTTCGGACAAATTTTTAGAACCTGACCCCCAGCTATAAAACATATACATGTTAATAAATAAACAAATACTCGATTTATTAAAAAATAGCTACGCTTTAGCACAGATAATATTCTCCTCTATTTTGACATAGATATTAGATAATCTGACAGAAAATCTGTGCATGCGTGCATCACGCTGAACGTTGCCGTAGAAAATATGTGCGTGTGGCCCGATCTAGCGATTGATAAATAACTGTCTGATAAGAGATTAGAGATAATAAATTAAAGATAAGAGATTAGGTACACCCACGATGACGATGTAATACACCTAATTAGGTACTTCAAATTAGTTACTCTTAATTAGGTACTTAGGCGATTGTAAGTGACTATATGTATATTAGAGATAAGAGATTAGATACATTTAATTTCGTTTCCATCTGTATTGATTGCTAAATTTTATTTAAATTATGATGTTTTCACAACGAGCACAATTTAATGGTTAAATTTAACCAAAATAACTGACCAGGTGAATGTTACCAATGAATCTATTTAGGCTAAATATTAAAAAACTACTAAAAAACATTTGGTCGCAACATAAAATTAAGGCAATACTATACTATATGATCATATTTTAACGTTGTTATCGTTTAAAGAACTGTTTCAAGAAAACTGAGTTTACTCAATACTTTACAGTGGCAGTTATACTTTTCAATAATTTATCTTGAACTTCTTTGAGATTGCTTTGTTCAATTATAGGATTCTACAATAAATTATTCGTCATTTAGGTTACAGTGTAATTATTATTATGGAAATTTACAGAACATAGATTAGTATCAAGTGCATATTTTGTATACTTAATTTCATTATTTCTCTTAAAATACATTTGGTTCCTATTTGAATAAATATTATCCTTATTTTGTTGATTCTTTCTTTACAAGCTAATGAGTTAAAACTATTTTCTTTTAATTATTTCTAAACCCTGTTATTTGATACAGATATGTTTAAGTAATTGTATTTACTATTTTGTGAAATATTTCAAAGTTTAAATTTAACCAGTAACTGAATTATTTACTCCAAAAAATTTAATTGGGACAAATTTGCTTGCAAAGTTTGAAGTCAAAACAACTAATAAATTACAAAGAATTTTATTAAAGCAATCAAAAGAAAAACTAATTCATTTTAGAAAAGAAATCTTAAAAAAAAAAAAAAAAATAGGTAGTAGATTTAAGTCGGTAGGTAAGTAGGTTGAGAAATAATTAAATATAAATTATATGACGTTATTGATGCATAATAATAAATGTAGACTTACGATTTTGACAGTGATTTCCTGTTATTGGTTTCAATGTTTTCACAATTATTATTTTTAACTTGGTTTTGAGACCCTAGAGTATTTGCTGATTCAGATTTTTTCATTAAAGTGTCTTCTTTAGAACTTGGCTTTTTTGGTAAATGTTTTGCACTTTTATTCCTATTCAATAATATACCAGATATAAATATATATAATAAATTAATATATGTTTTACTCATACAATAATAATAATAAGTAATATCTCATATTTACCCATTCAAATGTTTTAATGGTTCTTTTTTCTGTTTGACTGATGAGGATTGTCTCATTTGTGTGGTAATAGCTACAATCATATCAAAAACAAAATAACTAAATACAAATAACAAAATTATATAGTTAATATTATTAATAAATTAATTTATAATAGAAATCTCAGATTGAGAAAGATTAAAAACTAAACTAAATCGAAAATGAGAAATTCAATACAATTTAGTTTATAAATACTGTTAGTTTTTACATATTCTTCTTTTATAATGTTCATAATGTTTACTTTGAAATACAGTTTAAAATTATTACAATTTTGAATAAGTCATCATTTAAATGGTCACAAAAAAAAAAATGTAAATTACCACTAATGATTCATACTATTTAAACATGAATTTAATAACTCTATATACTTTAATCAAAAAGTTCTTTCTTTTAAATTTTAGTTTTGATGTGAACATAAGTAAAAATATACTAAGCCAAAAATAATAAATAAAACTTAGTTTTATTTTAAATGATGATATAATAATCAGCCATATCCAAAAGCAAAGTTGTCAATGTAGCATTATAATATAGCCAATTTAAAAACAATGATTTCACTTGTTTTTATTTTAACGCAACAAATCATTATTGAATATATATATTGGAGTAAGATCACACGACCTGGGAGGTCAGTTCTGGTTGTAAATGGTTTCAGCAGATCGGTGCCACTTCCCATACTGCTCGTTTGACAATCATGTTATTGCGCGAAACATTTGAGGGCTGACTTCTTTCACAATGTGGTGACCAGAACTGGCTTTCCAGGTCGTGTGTTCTAACTTCAATGGACTTTTTCCTTTGGGGTTAAGTCAAAAGACTACGAAAACAAACTACGAACAATTTAAGAACTTAAAAAAGAAATTTGTCGTGACATTGGTGAACTAGACCCAGGGATGTGTCAGTAAGTGATGGGAAATTTTGTGACCAGAACTGAAGCTAGCCAGCGTAGCCAAGGTGGATATATGCCATATGTTATATTCCATACATAAATTGGAGAATGTATACTACACATTTATATAATTTTTTTGTTCTAAATAATTTTTCCTAATACTGTAATAAGGAGATTAAATCTGGCGTTCTTATTGGGACACCGTTATATATATATATACATATATATAACAGTTATATATATATATATATATATATATATATAAATATATAATCCTAAAACATTATAAACATCAAAATAGGTATATTTTGTACTTACCAGTAACTTTATTAACAGGTTGAGTAGTTCTAATAGGCCGAGTAGATCTAACTACTTTTATTGGTTGATAAACTTTTATAGGAGCACTTGCAACATCTGGAGGAGTCTTTTTCGTTTTTGGAGAGTATTTCTCTTTAGTAGCAGTGCGCTGTGATCTCAATAGTGGTGCACGATACTGGAAATAAAATATTTATGGTAACGAAAATCGAAAATTTAATCAGAAGTGGTTCACCTAAATAAAATTTAAAAAAATAAACATCTAAAGAGAGCCAAAAAAATGTAATCACATTTAAAATGTTTTCTAATTTGAATAAGTATGTTTAATTGACTAAATAATACCTACTTATTTAATTTAACGTAAGGAGAAGATATATTTCATTGTAAGCTCAATTTATAATTTAGAGAATATAATAATGGTTAAATAATTTCTGTAATTAAATATTATAACTTAATATTACCCTTACCAGTTTGGTCTAACATTTAACTATAGTTTTATTATTATTAAGGTGTACTTAGTTTTTAAGCTTAACTATTAAGAACAGCACTAAGTGTGATAATTTTTGGTAATACTAAGTTATATCTCAAGTTTTTAATAAGGCAAGTAAGGTACTATATGACTAGTTAGAATTGCATACTATCTTTTAGGAATAATAAATTATACCTTTAAAAAAAAGTAATATTGTATGTGAAACAATTTTTTTACTAACTTTTATTCTAGCTTCAAGTCGTTCTTTAGCTACTGTGCTTGTAATAGGAGTAGTAGATATTCTTTGTGACTTTTCTTTGCAAAATTGTACATGTCTATCATAAGACTTAGGTCCAAAGTTACGAGTACAGTGTGGACATGATTGACTATCAGCTGGTTTGATGGATAATGGTACACTATCCTCATTTTGAACATTTCTAGCAGCTTTCACAGCTCTCAAAAGTTCTTCATGTTTAGCTCTCCAATTTTTTTTTGGTTTTTCTTTGACTTCATCATGACCATGACTCTTGTTAACACGTGGCAAATATGAAGCCATGTCTGTACCTTCTCTGCGTTGTCTAGATGAATCGAAAGGGACTTTACGTTTCTTTGCATTTTTTTCACATACTGCAGTATGACGGGGCAATAAATTTGGACGAAACGTACGTAAACAAATTTTACATGGCTGCAACTCAACTACTTCATTATCATAAGGAAGCTCTAAAATAAAACAAAAAAAACAATAGTTAGTTATCATAGTTAAAACTATGAAGTTTTAAAAATTAGAAATAAAAAATAAATGATATTTAATAAAGAAATTAAAATTTAAAAAACCTCTTAACCATAAAATAATACACTCTCTGTGTATACGTATTTCGGCAACAATGTTGTCAACTTCAGCACTAACGATTGTACCTATAGTGAAGTACTAATTAAACATATTTTGTAAGATTTAGCACAAATCATCTTAGTGCAATAAAATTGCCATACACATACAATATGTGACACTTATAATAGGTTAAAAATCATTTTTTAATAATGTATAATATTATGCAAATATTACCTAGGAAGCTTAAAGGGAATTTAGTGAAGCAATATTTAGAAAAAATATGAGGAAAACAGATTACCTTCCGTATTATCCATCTGTTCCATTCTTAGAAAAAAGATTGTCTTCAAGAATGTAAAAAACGTAGGTAGCGAGACTGTCTAAGTAGATAAACTTAAGAATATGCGTTCATTTACCAGTAGGAGGTAGGATTCATAAAAAAACAATACATTATAGTCATATAACTTAGCAACACGACATCATCACGACACTTGCAATATTGTTAAATCCATAAGACAAACAAACTACAAATTAAAAATATATCGATTAAAAATAAAAATAAAACAGTATGTAACCGAGGCCGAATTAAACAAACAACCATACTAAGTTAAATGAAACGGCAGTATGGCTGGCTACTAATTTTATTTTGATAATTATTAATTATTATAGATTGTATGACATAACACAAGGGGAGTTTCGATGGGTAGGCGTTGAAGGATATCGTACAGTTCATACTTCATACCTACCTACCTAGTACCTACTTAGATTGAAGTAATAGGTTCCAGCAGCTGTTGTGTTGCAATAAAATATTATAATACCTACAATCACACCGGGGGAATGAGTTCAATCATGATACAGGTGTACCTTATGCAACAATCACTAATCGACTGATTTGGTACAGTGTGGCAAGTCGAACAATATTTTCTGATCAACCATTTTATTGTAATGCTTATTTAGATATTTTTTCATTGAATGATCGCCGTGTTCATGTACGAACATTTTAAATCAGTAACCAGTTATCATTAAAAGATACAATTTTAAACATAATAATTAAAAAATCAGCCTTTTAGCCTCCCATAGAACTTGGAAGAGATTTTAAACTTAATATTGACAAAATAACAATGAAATCGGTTCAGTAAACACATCAGGAAAGTACCTATTATAGTTTCGCGTTATTAGTCTTTATTTCTATACAATTTGGCTCTTTTCGTTGCTCTACTAGGTAACTATTATAGAAATATGCAAAACATATATTAATATTAATAAATGTTTTTTCTATCAAAATTGACTAATAAATAAAATTGCATAATTAAAAATTATTTAAGAGGATAATGGTAAAATACAATAAATACACACGCATTTATTTGTGGCAAACTCATGGGAGCTTTCCCCTTACATCCCTAACAAACAATTAATTACGGTTTGTACCCAGTTGTGCAATATTCGAATTTATATATATATATATATATATATTTATTTATTTATTTATTTATATATATATATTTATTTATATACGCGTATTTATACATTCGTTATATACATAATCTTCTAAATAACACATCATTCAAGTAAAAATTACTTAAATAATTTCCAAATGCAATTTTCAACAACAAACATGAATTCTTATTGATGTTTAAAAATAATAATATTCGTTTACCTGGTCGTTTGAAGTGTAAGTAAGGGCATGAAAAAAGACGGCACCGTCGATTAAGTTTTGACCGTAGAACCGATAACATTCCTTGTACAGCTTCTGTCCGTTAATATGATAATTTATAACTTTGACAGATTTTTAATATCATTTAGTAACTACGAGCAAGTCGGTTTATAGCCTATTGAATTTGAGTGGGATATATTTTGAAAACGACAACGAAAACGGAAAACACAAACTAGTTACTGGAGTCGTTCTGACGATTATAATAAGTAATAACGTAGTCTGGACAGCTGGAACCAACTCGATGCTTCGTGACCATAGAAGCTAAATATAACGTGCTATATTTAGGCGTATAACATCTACAACAATACACAAAATCATCAAACACTCACTTATTCTAACACGTTAAAGTATTAGACGTACATTAGGTTATAACAGACAATTCGGGGAGGGTCAAATTGGTTTTACTTGCCTACAACTAATATACGTACAATTGATTAAAAGTTGTGAAATGTTTAATGTTGATAGGTAAAAAACTCTTAAAAAAGTTCCATGATCCCATTGTGCGAGGACAACTTATAAATATTCCAAATACTTTTTAATGTTATCAATTATCATAGATTAAACAAAATATGTATAGACAATGAACGTATTTATATTTGAAGCTACATTTTTTGGATTTACTAATAGCTTCTAGTAAAGAAATGAATATTTAAACCGTTAACTATAAAAAATATTACACTCTATGTGTGTACGGTATACGTATTCCGGCAACATTGTTGTCATCTTCAGCGGCCAGCGCTGATGACAGACTGATCATTTGTGACTACAGTTAGAGGTATAAGTTATAACTATTTAAAAGTTATAATACACATAAAAAATTAGATAGATAAAATAGAATAGAGTTTTAGTAGGCGGTAGGCGCCTAGTTTGAACATATAAATTATACGTATATTTAATGTAATTGTATACAGAAGATCTGACAGTAAAATAAAATGACATAATATATTAAGCTTTATATTAAGATATTCAATCGTTCAATTCGTACCGAAATACAATTATCTGAACTCTGACGCAATTGTGAGAACCTATTATGTGTTATTAATAATTAACGAAGTTCAATTTTAGGGATCTTGAGTGAATTAATTAATATGATTACCTACATTAAACTCATTTACTGATTTACACATAACCTTGTAAAGAGAATTAAATAATTGAAATGTAGTTACCCATTCATATGGTTTGATATTTTAGCTGATATTCATTATTTATATATATTCACTAACTATTCACTTAGGATTAATGTCACAAGGTGATTTTTTAACGAATACACATTCAAGAATTTAAGTGTGTGCGAAAAAGAAACTTATTTCCGCTACATTTAAATCAGCTATTGTGTTTTGATATTGTAACACCAGAAAAACATACATATAATAGGTAAATCAAATAAATTAAGACATGGTTACTAAGTGCAGGGTTCAGGACATGTGGCATAAATATTATGAATGTTAAATATAACTATTAACGAAGGAGCCTAATCGTTTTTTAAGTAATCTTCTTTTATAAAGTTTATCACGTTTATTAGACAATAAACTATTGATGATACCGAAAATTGTTGTCACGATTTTGTAGAAAATGCCGAGACGCATATTTTAACATTGATCTAAACGTGAAACTAACGTTGGTTACACGGTTATATCTTTGTTAGATACAGCTTGTGCCTTGTCGCAACAATTTTTAGCTTCGATGCCTTTAGCCGAGAAGATATTGGTTTTATAATGATGTGTTTTTTTTGTATCTGAAGACACGATACATTTTTTTCCGGTGAACTGATTTATTTTTAATTGACCATTATAATGGATATTTTTTGAAATTATGAGTATAAATAATAATAAACAAAATTTGCTGCTGGCTTCTCATTTGTAGGGCAACATTTGTTTAAAAACGGACCAAACATTTTTCTGGTTTATGAATCAGGTACTCAGATGAGTTTTAGAAATTCATGGTCTCGCGAAAAAACCTGGGGCCTTTTAATTTATTACGACTAACGGTGTTAATGATTTTACCTTTATATACGTTTTTAAGACTAGTTAAATTATAAGAACTGTGGATGTAAAAAGTACACAAGTGAAAGTAAGTGTAAAATGGGACTTGACTGTTGAGATTTTCACAAAATGCCTACAGAAAAATTAAATATATTATTCTGAATTATTTTTAAAATTTCATAAAAAAATGTTACGGGTATTGGTGAATTTACGAAAAATCTAATTTAACATACCTTGTAAGGTTTTACTCAATTCCTCTCGTGTTACATTGGAAGTGTTATAAGAAATACTTACATTAGGCTTGGTTAAAATATATAAAATCAAGTAAACATAGAGGGCCAAGATATTTGTAAATAAATGGAACAAAATATATAAATATATTTTTTTATAGATGACTATAAAACTTTTATATTTAATTTAACTGTCTAATGTTTTAACATCTTACTATTAAAATATTAAAAATTGTTGATTGTTGTTATAAAAAAAAATTGTCACCATATAATATGTTTACAAATTCACTCACCCAAAATCGGTATTATCGATTTAAAACATAAGAATTTCCATATTGCTGCTTTAGGATTATATATAAATGCGTAGCAGTACTTAAGTCAGAAATAACAAAATAAATCAACGTACTAGGTTCCCATTAAGTACTATTACCTACACTTAACGGTTCTGTTTATTTATTGTTATTTGGAAATGGGGGTTTTAATCACTTCTTATCAGTTGGATCAATATAATATACTGTGAAAGTAGGGTATACGTGAGTGTATTTTTAAGTCTTTTCTAAAATAACTGTTTTAGAAATTTGCTTTAAGAGGATGCCACTTCGCCTATTCTAAGGAGTAAACTATAGGCAATTGTTCGCAACCCTTAATTTAGAGCTTGAACTATAGTGTATACTTATTAATATAGTAATGAGGATTCCTATTGATAGTCATATTATTTGTCCGACTAACACAGTAATTTTTATAAGGCAAGTTACAATTATCTTTCTATCAAAATTGCTTTCCAAGGGACAAACTTATGAAATCAAAATTCACAGTTAAATTACCAAATTTTCACAATATATAAAAGAGAACTTAACCTTTATCGAACTGTTTTTATTTGTTTTAATATTAATACTCAGTAACTTTTAATCGTCAAATAAAAACAATCTTTAAGAATAAATAATTTAAATAAACAACCAACGACATTTGACACAGGTAAAGATTTTCTATGTGTACAGTAAAAATTGTATGATTGTTCTGCAACTTACGAGTACAACCTTTGGGTTTTTTGAAACCCTATCCTTCGCACTTGGAGTTTTGTGGCCAAAATACGGGTGGTCTGGCGACTTCTTAACAGAGCACATATTATGTTGTATTGAAAATTAAAAAAAAAAAACGAAATAACTTGTATTTGTATTTGAATTTGAATTGTGAATGATGAGTACAGGAAGATGACAACATCGTTGTCGTAACACGTGTACGCAAGAAGTGTATAATTTTTATGGTTTAGGGTTCAAGTAGATTTTATATCTTTACTATATAGATTTATTTTAGTTTCTTTTTGTAAAGCAATACAAATGTTTGGATTCTATTTTAAAATTAAAAAAACTACTTACTTTTACAATCTATCTTCAGCGTTTTCGGATATAATGCTGTGATCGTTTTAATCATTAGTATTTTTTTTAAAATTAAATTTAGTTAAACGTCACACCATAAAATCAGAGCTTGTGCTAGGTGCGTCGGCCTACGTTTTGTACAGACAATTTTATTATATTCACGAGCTAAGATCTACAGTCCTTCTCTTAAAATTCAATAACGGTTCCTCTATTTTAGAATACTTAAAGGATCGCCTACAATATAAAATGGTTTTCCGACCATTAGGATGTATGTACGTAGGATTCGGTCCACTTAATTAGATAAATATAAAATAATAATATACATAAACAAAATAAATACAAAATATCTTTGATAATTATTTTCTTATTTATTTTCTAATAATACGACTGTACAAAAAAACCACAAGTTCATTTTTAGTTCAATATTATGATGTTGGATCTATAAAATCTGGTGCAAAAGATTGTTCTTATATTTAAAATTGAACGACTGCACTTATTAATATTATGATTACATAGATATAGATTAACAGAGATCACAGTGGTTACATTTTTTATCGCCTTATATATATATATATATGTATAATTATAATATGTGTGTCTTTTTTTTTAATATAATATATTACACGTTACAATACAAAGTAAAACTAGAATAAAAACATACATTTACGAAATTCCTAACAATGACTATACATAGTAGCAGCGTTTTAATATCGTAATCGCATCTTACGCATAGTACAATAATTTTAACATAAAACTATTAACAAAGCGCTTGTGTACATAAAACACTTATATAATAAATTCATCTAATGAATAGTGAGGGTTTTATTTTTAATTTAGCGTCTTTTTTTCGCAGGGTACACATTTTAACTGATTAAAGGTCAAACAGCAGTACTTGGGTAGCACATTTCAAAACGCGTAGACGCCAAATTAAAAACAAAAATACCTAACACAAGTTAAATTCCCGATGACAGGTCGCTCTCTAACCACCGATTATTATTATTATTATTACTATGTTTAACCTACATATTATACACACCAATAGCGTGGTACTCCTGATTATATAATATTGATATAATTATTATAATTATATATTATTATTTGTGACGTTAAAATTAAATTGTATTTTCATCGTGCACTCAATGCCGAAAATTAAACACATAAATAATCAATATGATTCTATAATATAAAATACATTTTTTTAGGTTTTTTTGGATTATTGGTTGGTAATACTGTGTGTTGTGTATCTATGGTTTTAATCGTTTGAAACCGGCACCGTCTGAACCGAGTTTAAGCTCTTCGTACAACGTTGGAGGCACTTCGGTGGCTGTATGCAAATGATCTTGTTTCCATTCAGCGGTGGCTATGCCATTAGCCGCGGAAGGGTAAGCCATATCACTTTGATTCTGGTAAATAATTATATTAAAATTAAAAACCAATAAGGCTATCTGATTGCATTTTATAAGATAACCTATTTCAAAAACTCAAATAACTCAAATTAATGATTATGTATTTATTGTATTATGTCCATAATAGCTTAATTCTTTTAAAAGGCATTGCTTGTCTGGCATATTGAAATTGTATTTTTACATGTCATGTATTAATTATAACATTATAAATTATTATACGAAATTATTTATACATACCATGTTTTCCATATTGACTTCTCTCAAGTAACTAGGGTTTTCGAAAGAAACTCCACTGGATGACTTATGTAGCAAATGACCATGACCGTGCATATAATAAACAACGCCGGCAACAATACCTCCCACGATCAAAATTGCGACAAACACCCCAAATAGTGTTCCAATATCAGTTCTACTTTCACCTGAAATGCATATTTTGTTAAATTAAAATGAATTATCTAACATTAAGACTTAAGTATTAAATATTTAAAAAATTAAAAAATACAATAAAATAATATTATAAGGCTAAATCATTACCTATACTAGCGGCTGATGTGACATCTTTTTCAGATGTAGAAAATCGTAATGGACTAGTAAGCGTACTCATTCCTCTCGCGTTACCGGCTTTGAGAACCAGTTCATAGACCAGATCATCCTTAAGTCCACTGATTCGCATAGACGTTTCTTTAGTGTCGTTTTTCTCTGGACTATTGTTACCTACACGTCTCCAAAACACCCTAAAAACACCATGACATTGTTATAAAATTCAACCATATAATAAAAAAATATATTTTACTATTTAGGCATAAAAAATATAGTATAGTAATAAAGGTCTAGTGTTAACGAACGATAAACAATAACATAATAAAAATAAGATGTATTTTTATACCGTGTCGTTGAAGTAAATACTACTCCGTAAACCGAGCAAAAACTACTTAAAAATGAGTAATGCTCGCCAGTATTTAGGTTATGGTTTTTAAGTAAAAAGTTTCATTAATATAAAGCACGGAATCTCGGTTGTGGGTGTTAGTTCAAGTAATACTCAAAAGGCAATGATCACTTCATGTTCGCGATATATAGGTCAAAAGCTCGTCCTGATTTTTTTTCAACATTTTGAATTACACTTGATTTTTTTAACGTTTATACGGAGTTCACCAGTTATGGTGTATGCTAATTTCTAATGTAATTAGGGCAGTACCCATTGGAGTTGGATTAAACTCGACATTAAATAAAAAACGATTTTCAAGTATTCGTATAAAAGTACTAGAAGTTTTCTAAATCGGTTCACGCAACATATTAGAATAACATTTGACACTTCTATAAGACGTATTGTAAAATATAAACGGAAGGAAAATATGAGAATACTGAATATTTGTTTTTGAACACACTTCTGTACTTATTTTGCATACACTATGCGCCGTATATATTGATGTTGGATTTTCTAATCAGTTATTAGTATTTTTTTTTATATAGTTTTCTGGATACGTGTATACCTACAACAAATATTTTTCATCGACAAATATTCATGTCTAAATATATAAAAATAAAAGATTATTGTTGAGGAGATTCCATTTCCGATTGAATACCGAAAAGGTTTAATTTATCGCCTATTTCAATTAAACTAATAATATTATAAAACAAAACTATTAGCGTGTTTCCCAAAAATAGTACTTTACCTGTAAACTTCGACAGTCTGTGGATTTTTTGTCGGCGGATCCCACTTTACAATGATTGTATGGCCGTCCGCATTTTCTATGCGCACGTTGGTCGGAGGTCCGGGCAATTTGTCTGCAATAAATATGTTTTGTATTTTTTTAGCGAAACATATTTTAAATGAACTATTTGTAAAATGAATACTGTACCTTTGAGTTCGTGGAAGCAAGCTAATATTGATTTTGAATAAGAAAGAACGCACATTTTGTTGTTGACTGGTTCTCCTCGGCACCATTCCAAGCAACGTCTGGGTACTCCACGGTCTGAACAACAAGCTCTATGGTCCGATCCATCTACAGTAAAATATATTTAAGCGTTTATACATTTTGTCGCATTTATGGCTTTTTATTTTTTCTCAAAGAGACACGTAATACTTCCATACCTGATGCGCATTTCATTAATTTGTCAAAATCGTTGAAACAATCTGCTCTGGCAATGGCCACATTAATATCGAGGTACGACGAAGAACAGGCGTCTAAACAACCGGCGGTAACATTTTGTTGAACGCAACACTGGGTCACGTTATTGGTGGTCACCTGTGCGATATGAGTTTGATTAACATCGATAACCGTTTACAAACACATAGTGAGCACTATTATACACGCAGCGCTATCTTCATAATTTTACGATATTGTGCGATTAGACATTATACGAATTTAATAGGAATTGACGGCACTGAGAATTTGATAATGTCGCAGTATGGCTGGGTAGGTCTAAGTATTACTACCCGTTGAATATTGTATTCGCCGACCGACAGGGTATCACGATGGTTGACAATGACGACGGCTACGAGACATTAGTCAGTAGCGGAAAGCTAAAAATGTCAATTAACGGCCATGACGCGTTTAAATATATAAAAGCGAAATACGTTGTATTATTTAAAGCGGCGAGGCGAGGCGACGCATTGTCGGTGTCTAAGTCCAAGATATGTATAATAATATATTGTTATAATGCCATTCGGTGGTTTATATATTGATCACCGCCGCCAATAATAATTTTATTGTTTTCGTTATTTTGCATTACTTACGCACACCCGGGACAACAACAAACCCGTCTTGTTTATATCTCTCGTTACTCCGAGTACGGTCCTTGCCGTTTAATCCCACAGCGGCCTTTGATCCCATCGTGACAAATGCTCCGTAATGTGACTCACCCTTCAGCCACCGACCTGACCGTAACACGGATGGCCCGTTCGCATATATCGCCATATGTATGTGTTGTTTTGCAATGGCCTAACCGTATAATTTACTCATCCCCACTCTCGAGCGCCAACCATAGTATATCCCGGCAAAAATACTATAAGCCCCCCGAGCTTTAACCCTAAGCTATTGCCGTTTTTTATTATTTCCCCGCCACACTCAGTGCACCCCCGGGCACCTCGTGCCGTCAATACCATATTTTTTATATCGTATGTTTGTACAGTGTATAAGAAACGCAAAGTAAGTACTCACCGAGTTTCTGATTCTCACGGATACCGGCTTTGTGGAGCTTCCAAACGAGTTTTCCGCGTGACAGTAATAGTCGCCATCGTCTTGCTCGGTCAATTTACTAATGGTGAGTTCCATAACAAATTTAGTGTAATCTTCTTTGGAGCGAATCACGTTGATGTCATGCTTGCTGCTTTGGATGACAGGCGTCCGACCTTGCGCGTCTCTCCAAAACATCATTTTTGGTTCAGGATGAGCGTCTACCATACATTCAAGTGTAACTGTGTCGCCGAGACTAGCCATAGTGATCTTAGACGCCACCAATTTGGGAACATCTAAACAATTTTTTTTAAAAAAGTGAATATTTTTCCACGTTTAACATATTAGGTATTCTATAAAAGTTCGTCTTAACAAATAATGGAACAATATTATTTTAACAATCAATATCTAAAAAGTATACATAGTAATATAATACATTCCAATATATAATAGTTCAACTTAACATGATTTAGACTACATCTTTTAAGGTCACTCATTTGCATAGACATAACGTAAACAATATAAATTATTAACCCAACCTTACAATTTCTTTAAAAATATATTTTGGGAAGGTCTCTAAAAGTCGATAATCGGTTTTTTGTATACAGTAAAATTGCTATAAACTTGTTTTCATATCAACTTTCAAGTTTCCATTTTAAATGCTATTCAAAAGCTTTGATTTGAAAATCATAATTATAATAAATATAAGAGAAATATTACTAGCATGGACTTAACGTTTATACGTTTATACATTTATTATTATTATATTATACATTATTACATTATTACATGTATACATTCATATGCAGCTATTTTGTTACAAATTCCAAGTATGAGAAACAAAATGTGAACTAATAAGCCGTTTAATAGTAATTTGAAGTTAGCCAATTTATTACAGCAATATTATGTAGAAATTTCTCTCGGTAGTTTTTGGATTATTACTTTAAATGTTATAGCAATAAACGTTGGATGTTTGAGAGTTTTAGACTAATATATTTAGTATTGAAAGTATTATATTTTTCTACTTACTAATCCAATGAGTTGTCATTATTTAAAACCCTTTTTAGATGATTATAAGTTTAATTATTTTTCAGTTTAATATCTTTACGGTATTTTTAGAATTCAATAGAAGCTTAGTAACTGTCCACACGGTGGTGATATTTTTACATTTCTTATTGATTTAACGTCTCCAATATTCTACTTTACGAATTTCACTTATTATATTTACCGTAAGACATCATTAAACAAAAAGAATATTAACCAAAATAATGAAGTAAAAAGCAAATCTTCGTGTGACGACGAAATCTTTGTGATGATAAATTTCATGAAAACTAATGTTGGGCTATCCGGAAACCCGAATAAAAGCGGCAGGAAGATGAAAATGATGTTTAAATGAAATATTGTCTGGTTAAACGGCCACCACCAGGTTAAATAACAACATTTTATGATATAATATATAGTAATATACTACTATAGCAGGGCCCTAATGACCTGAAACTCCGACTAACGCCGTTGTTTTTACTCATTATACCTATCGAACGGTCCCCGGAAGTCAGAACCCATAGTTGGTCATATAATAATAACCGGTAATAAGAAATATATCTTTTCAATTTTTTTCTTTAGCTACCGTTTACGATTAGATGTGGTATCGGTTAAGTCAGAGTCAATACTAATCAGTACTCGAAGATGCCAAAAATATTAAAACATCTAAGTAACTAACTGAGTAACTTAACCTTATACTGTAGTCTGCATAAATCTTATATTGCAGTCTGCAGTCATCCCAACCTGACATCCCCGTTCTTAAATAACAAACACAACGATCAGCAAAAATAACTAAAAATTAAATAATCAGCTTGATATACATAAAAAACTAGATTGGTAAATTCAAAAAAGTAAACAAAACATATTTTAAGGAGTATGTTATTTTTATTTTCAAATATCGTGTTCATGATTTTAAGAAACATATTTAAAAAAATCTATTATAAACAATTGACTATTACAAAACAGCTATGTATCTACTCTCAATAGCAAAAATATGCAATACCTGTTTGTCATCGATAAAACGCATTCCCGGTCTTGATTTTTTTCTTTTCAATAACTACTGCTTTATTTTTTCCCAATAAAACCCCCGAATAGAAAAATCACCTAAAGGACGTGTAACCGTGACTCGTTTCTGTACGTGGGAACAGAGGAAAGCTCGTTTTAAAACTGAGATAATAAGTCGATTTGAAATATTAGATGTCGACCGAGTTTTTGTGACTATAACAGGAATTCTTTAAAAAAATGTGTATGTTATTCACCGTATGGGAATTTATTTTGTGCCGAGATGTAAGTTATATTATATCTCGCTGTATTGAATTACGATGAAAATCAAATAATAAGAATTGCGTGTCCTGAGGATTTTTTTCTGAAAAGCAAAACATAGCTTTTGTATGGTGGAAACATGAATTTTAAAGATTTCTATACTAATAATAATTATTAAATTAACATCCATGGCATACTTAATGTGTGTTTTTTGTAAACGATAGTTCAACTACATTATTGTTTGTAATTTGATGTTCTATTAATATGTCCATTAAGTATAGTTCATTTTTTATAATAAAACATATAAAAATACAAGTAAATACTGATAATTGAATTTAAATCCATTAGGTATACCCTAAAATCCAAGCCATGGTAAGACTAGTATTATACTAGTATTATTAGTATGATAAATTGTTATGCAGTTTTTTTGATAACCAACATTATGTACTAGTAGATAATCAATAGTAAGTAAATAATATTTTATACAGCTACCGAAAATAATGTAAAATATAATTCATATTTTTCCAAGGATTTTTAGTAAAATTTCCAAAATAAACCAAAATTTCTAAAACAATTATATGAAATGTTCTCATAATATTCCGTGTCTATTAAAAACTATATTATTTATCGTTTATAATAGTAATAGTCAAACACATTTTATACTTTTGCCCTACTAATAATTCAGTTTACTAAATCTAACCTAACTTAATTTAACGATTAATTAGCACAACTCATAATTGAGTCCATGTTTCGATTATTGATCTATGGACACTCAATGATATTTACTGAGTCAACTAGAATTGGCAATGCTCTTCAAATACTAATAAAATACCATTATGTTTTCTTATTTTTCAAAATTTATTTGAATACATTAAAAGGTGTTCCAAGGAGAGATTGACACAAATAGAAAATCTATTTGAAAACTTTTATATGGCCATTATTCAACCTAACTTTAGATTTAATCATGTTTTGTCCCTTTTGAGTTTTAGGTAGTCGCGGTCGTTGTACTGTAGAACATCCATCTTCCGTGTGTTGCATTTCTGACATAGCAATACTTTTACAAAAAATAAATTCCCTCACTGTTTTTGAAAATATTGTGTAACTCAAATTTCAGGTAAAAACAACGTCGATAAATCTACAACTAAGTTAAAGAACATGTCCTACGCAAAAATTTAACTTTTTAATTGTAACGTTTAAAACAAAAAATATCGTCAAAACTTAACCAATAAACGGAAAACGAAAAATTAATAATCATAATATCCCAAAATTATTAGTAAACATAATGCGTGTTAAATCGATAAAAAATGAAAAAAAAAATACCAAAAAATGTCAACGAAAAGGAACCAATATTTCCTAAAATATGTTTTACTTTCACAATATTGGTTAATAGCTTGTTTAAAAAAAACTTTTTTAAGCCTTTATCATAAGGTATAATTATTTGTTTATTTTTTCGGTCTGGGCTGACGATGTGTTTAGATTATAAATATTTTTTTGACAAAAAAATCCTCTCGATATTTTCAAAACTTAAATGAGCATTAATCATGTAATGGCAGCCATTTTTAATTGATGCACATATTCCCTTCTGCACTTACCATTTTAGTTGCATCAAAAACACAGAGATAGTAAAGTAACTAAAAAAATATTAATCATTAAAGTTCAATATATTCTTTTATGGTAAAGTGTCTAGGAACTAGACACTTCCTATAAAATAAGCAGATTTTACCTATATAAAACATTTTCAATATTAAAAATTCGTAGCAAATAATTTTCTTTTTAATGTAACGAATCTTTAGAGCAGTTGAGCGGTTTTTATCAAAATGTTTTATATGTTCTAAAAGTTTGAGTTATTACTTGAGTTTACAGACAAAAAAAAGGTTTATAATAAATATATTATAATATTTAGTGCATGCAATATATCATCGGAAAATTAATAAAAAAAATTATTATTTGAATTCTCCGCAGTGACTGTACAAAGAATACATTGTTTGAAAATTGCATTCCCTAGTTGATTTTTTAAAAAGCTTTCTTTTGTTAAACTGTCAACATCCGACAAAGGAATAAAAATCCACGGCACAGTTATTTGATTTTTCATATGCATAACAGGGTATGTTTTTTTTAAAGAAAACGTATCCAATGCAGCGTTTTATCGTTTACAACTGATGTTGTTCCCAAGGTTCTTAAAATCGCTATTTTTGTCATATAAAAAATATTGACAAACCGAGCACGCGGAAGATAATTTATGTCACCGCGTTAGTCTTACCGTGTTTAATATTACTTACACTAGTAAGTATACAAAACTTTATGGTGTCAATTTATAAAGAGTGGGTACGTGTTGTACACAAGCTATAAACTTAATAAACTATAATAGCAGACGCGAGTCAACTCAAAACACAGATACATAAATCATTAGCATACGCGTTTAATCCTTGTTAATAATTTAATTTTAGTACTATTATTATATAATGTTATTATTGAACGTAGATAATTTTTCAACAACATTAAATGTGGTACAATTCTTCGACGTTGAACATTGCGAAAAAAAAATAAAATACAAATTAAGTTATTTTTTGTGTACATCCAGTAGGTATATAATGTTCCTAAATGGAAGGTAAGAATACGTGACAAAATTATTTTTAATTGCTTAAATAGCATTAGCGCTTTGCCGCCACTTTGTCCTGTTTTATTTCGGTGTTTAACAGTAAAACTGTATCTTTGCATAATTGATAAAACATTAAGACATTTTGTGGAAACGCAATAAATGAACCATATCATTAAAAATCGATCATTTGGTGAAATTAAGCTATCTACGTTTAATGCCACTATTTTAATACAATATGCTTCATACATAAATAATCTACTTGCATTTATATTTTCGTCATTTATACTAAGATGTATTCTTCAAATATATACCGATATCGATCCATTACATTTTTATTTTTTAAATTCCTTACTTTCTGTTTAATAATTAGTAATACTTTGAATAACGTTTTTAAAATTTACAATTTCATTTAATTATATTCTATTATAACTTAAACGCAGAACTGTTACAGAAATGTTACTTTAGAAAGTAACATTATATATTATCTGATAAAATTACTTTAGTAGTACTAAATTGAAAAAATATAATAGAGGAAAAAAACTGCTATTACTACCGATGAGGTATTCTTCAGACCGATGACAAAGGAATAAAAGGGATCTTTTTTTTGTTGAGAACTTGCAATTGCTTTACTATCTACTCGTATACTAATTATATACAACGAACCATGAAGCTGTAACTGTTTTATATAGTGAACTACTTATTTTTGGTATGAATTGATACATAAACCATAATTAGGTATACGAAACAAACATGTTTAGCTACACGGTAAATAATACAAAGATTATTTTTATACTCACAACTTATGCTGATTTTCCTGGACGATTGCATTGGTGTGCCGTAACCGTTATCAGCGTAACACGATATTTCGTCCATATCCCTAGTGACATTATGAATGACTGTCACCATATGTCTAGATGTCTCCTGTCTTACCAATCTCCCGGATATATAAAGAGAAATAGTTGGCGATGGCGTGCCCATAGCAATACACAAAACTGTCATGCTGCTACCCTCAATCACAAGGTTTATCGGATGGACAGTAGGTGGCTATAATCAAATAATGTACGTTACACATAAATCGAATACAATGGAAAACGTATACTCGAATAAATAATAGATAAAATATATTTTATAAAAATACGCGTTGAAGGATATTTTACGGACATATTATACTATTATTCATTTTATTTCGATTAAATTAACATTGTTGTTAATTTTGAACTTAATTGTCTCTATGTTTTATTTGAACTAATAAAATCATTGAATGAATTACTGAATTCTTGAAGAACTAAAGAATCATTGATTGAATTAAAAACATTCAACATACAATCTCGCAAATAAGTTTATATGTAAAATATTTTCCCTTATAAAATAAGGGACGATTAAAAATTTGAAATTGAGTTCTGACAAACAATAAACGAATATTTTGGAGAAAATTGATACATATCGCAAAAGTTGATTTAATACAAATATTAGGTACATTTTGATAAGTATCAAAACATATTTTTACAAAACAAAAAATTAGCGTATCAATGAAGTGCTTCAATATTGTAACGGTTGCTTATGTAAATAATTTACCTATAATACCATTACCAACATTTAAAAAAAACTTTTTTAACCATCAGCCAATTATTAATATAACCCGTTAGCGTTCCAATATTATAATAATAGGAAGTAAAACAGAGCTAAATTGAAATTATATAATATTAAGAACGCTTGTAAATTCTATAATTTACAACGTTTTTACTGTGTACACCACTCTCGTAATAAAATTTAAATCAAGCTTTCTGGGATATGAATAGTGTATTATGGTATAAATTATAAAAGCGCGCACCAGTTAACTACATTATAGAAAGAGGTCAGTGGTTTTAAGTCAAATAAAAAAACAGGTTAAAAAACTGCAATATTCAGAAAAATGATGTCATATTCACTAAATGTAAAATAATAATTTTCGAAAAAGTCACGCTTGTTGATATTATAACTATTATAAGTATGAATAATTACAGGTTATATTTTACTTTAGTATGAATCAGAAAAAAAAAATTAAAAATAATTATTCCTCATTTGCTGTAGCTACCCCACCCATACAGCACAATTAATATAAATTATATTTTTAAAATACGCTAAATATATTGTACAAATATATGTATATATATATAGAACAAAATAATTTGTAAACGATTTTCACGTTAACTTACATTTTGCTGTCAGGGTACTGATTGATCATATATATAAAAAAAAAAAAAAGTCGCCCCTACCTCGGATGATATTTTGGGTTAACCGATAGATGGGGGTTGTTGTTTAAAAGCCATTGTAATGAGCTCAATGTTTTTTTCTGTTTTACTGTACTTACTTCGACGAACGCTGGGTAAGCCGGATCGGTCCATGCAATCAGTGTTTCGGACGGTAGACTCTGTCCGTTTTTCGATACGGCCACGATGTAAACAATGTACTGCGAGTTTGGCGACAAATTATCAAGAGTGAACGCGGGCACGGGTACGTCTACCTGATGGAACGAAGTCTCCGCCACGGTTTTCCAGTAAAGCCTGCAAAAGGCCATCGTAAACGGAGCATTAGTACTTGTATGTGTGCACATGCATCACAATCTTATATTATTACATCACTATCTTCGAGGGAGCGAAACACATGTAGAACTGTACGCGGGCTCCGCCGCTGTAGTATATTACAGTGTATACGACGTCTATATAATAATATGATATAGGTGTGCGTTTGTGTAGGGACATTTATATAAAACGCCCTCGTAAAAATCACTACACTCGGCGAACATACAGACTCGGGTAGAATGTACGATCGTAAAACATACAGAGTACACACGCACACCGGAAAGTGATAAAATATAATTGGAAAAGCTCCTTATACCAACAGCGGGTATACATGTAAGAAGCAGGATGCGGCGAACGGACGTAAACGATTTGTTCGAAATTATACTCCACGTTATGATACGTGGGTGATCGCTGGCTGTATTAACAACGGTTTAGCTCAAAACTTTAGCCATTGTAAGCGACAGATTTTTAATTTTCTCTAATAATTTCGGTAGTGAACTGAACAAAAATGTCCATGGCAAATACATTTATTATCCCCTCAAGCTATGGTATCAATATAAAACCATATATTTATCAATAATGAGCACCGTCTAGTGTGGTTGAATCAAAAATATAAATAAGTAATTGGTCTTAGAAGTGATACAATTCAGGTGAGTCGGGGGGGAAAGCAACAAATTACATATAATCACATCTAATTATTAATTACAATACTAAAATAATCTAACCATTTTTACGAAGAAGAGACCATAGTATGGACCCAAACCAGAATTAAACACACTAACGTAACACTCATGGTGAATGAAGAAAGAAAATTCTCAAAGTATTAACACTACAAAGATAACCTTGACTTATCTTTGAAAGTTGCTTGTTTTTATAAGCTTATTAAGTAACTAACTAAAATGAAAATAACTAATATGTAATATTTAATAGAATTTAAGCCCTATTACCATGATAGTTGTGTAGCTTGGCGAAGAACATTATATTTCCAGTAAATCGCAAACACTATCCAATTATATTCAACAAAAATATTTATTTAAACTAAACTTACTTATAGTTGATTTCTTCGGATACGTGACTGAACTCTGGCGGTTGCCAATTAATGGTAACAAAATTGGCACTATGTCCGGAGACGACTAAAGAATGTGGAGGAGACGTTACCCCTACTATACCTCTTTTGTCAACATCTATGTAAATTATCAAAAACAGTCGATTATTAGGTATAACCTGTGATGTTACAGTAAAAGGGGAAGTAAGATAAATCATTAAAAAATATTAGTAAAAATAAGTAAATAACAAAGCAATTATTAGTCGACGTTACTTCGATACTTAACTCACGCAAACTTTAACATCGGTAAAGAATTAAGTTAAGCGCTAATTTTTTGCTTATTTAATTTATTACATTTTTTCGTATAAATATATAAAAAAGATACTTAGGTATTTGTAGAATTTAAAAGAAATATATTTGTAGAAAGACATCTAGAGACATCAAAGAAATTCAAAGGACTTGGGTGTGCTCAGTGCCTCTACATTTGAAACTAGCACCCCAAAAATTATTTACGTTCTATACGTATTATGAAGATGGAGTAAAATCTCTATCTTTATTAAATACCGACAATATTGGAAAATTAATATTGTCTGTGTTTAAGCAACACTTTTTTTAGCAAAAAAATAGCGCTTTGAATATCTTTTATGTTATATACCTACAACATTTCATCTAGTGATTATTAACTTTTTAAAAGGACTCATGATGATGTATCATAATGATTTGACAAAATTGCATACATTTAATATTTAATTTTGTTAAGGCATTAAAGTACACCCTATATAAATAATAATGGAAATTTGAGCACTCTTATTCATTTTAAGTAGATATACACGCTACTGAATTACAGTAGGTAGGTTTTATATATCACGAGTGCGAAGAAGAAAGATTAGTGAAAGCCTTCCTAAGCCAATATATTATGAAGATAATTACTCTAGTTACCTGTGTCAGTAATATTGAGCAAAAGTATAGATGATGGTAACGATGTGCCGTGAGCATTTTTGGATACGACAAAAATTTTGTACAATTTTCCAGTTTCCAATTTTTTTAATTGAATTGAAGTCTCGTTTACTTCGACTTGCTGTGGATAGACAATTATTATGTAAAATTAAAAACATACCATTTTAAACATTGATAAACTTTTTGCATAGCAAATTATTCTCGGAAAATTAACAGTGTATAATCGTACGATATTTACGTATTTAATGTAAAATAGAATCTTCAGGCTTTGAAGAATTTATTCTTTGCAATTTATCGTGTAAAAATGTGTTAATAGTTGCTCTTATTACAGTTATTCTTGGAACCATTACATTATAATATTTAAGTATAAAAAATATAATTTGCTATATTTCAACTCAAGTTTGAAAATGCGAAAGCACGTACCTGATCTAATTTGATTGTATTCTCGTGCACAGTAGCATTGTTGACTTTTTGGTAGTGCACTACGTAAGTGGTAATATTACTGTTATCGTTTGGAGAGTTCCACACTAACGAGACGCTGGTATTGGTTAACTTTACAGCGTGCATGTCACCCACGGGACCTGGTAACTTGCCAGTACCTATGAGAAAATTTCAATAATCATTTTATTTGCTAACTTTCATATTTCTATACACTTTAAGAGTATAATAACAAGACTTCAAACTATTTCCGACCCACCCAAAATATATTACATTTTTTGTTCTTATTGAAATTAATTTTTATAGTTTCATTTTTATGCATCCACTTTTTTGAATGTGCAAGTTTCTGTTTTTTTTTTGTACGCATTATTAGTGACTGAAGTTATAAAAATTTTTTTTAAAAATTGGTCGAAAAAAGTAGCATTAGTTTAAAAGTTATTTTTAATTTTACATTAAATGTAATTTATTTTAGTTAAAAATATATCCCGTGATGCCAAAATACACAATGACCTCAAGGCACACTTCACATTATGAATTCATATTTACATTAGAGTGCTTATAGTACAATGTTTTTGATAAAGTAGTTAAAAAAGTATTTGTCTATATCATTAGAATAAATCAAACAGCTATAATAAGCGCAAGTGGACAAAAACCATAATTTATGAAAAAAATATTACTTAGGTTTGCTTAAAAAAAATCATATAATCTGGAGTAAAATCAAAGTTATTAAAAACTAGATACGTAGGTACCTTTTTCTAAAAGGAACCCCTTTTTTCAATACTATAACTAGTATATTATATTATATACAGAATTAATACAGAAAGTAACGCTATTTTTAAATTTAAATGCAGTCTCGGGTACACACATGAACAGTATAGTGGAAATACCCATAGACAAATAACCTTATTTATAATAATTTATATTCTGAACCTAACAAACCTATCAAGTCAAAATAAACGAATTCGAGTCGAAGAATTTGAAAATTTAGTCCCTGAGGATCCCTTTTTAATATTATTCTCTTCTAAACTGCTATAGTATGTCTGATATTATTGGGCTATACCCAATCAAATCATATTGTATCCCGAAAAAAAGTCATGCTGCTTATTAGATTTAAGTCATATCTAAATAAACTTTCCTATTATTTATATTCACTCTCCAGAAATACATATTTTGTTTTCTAATCAAATACCCTGAATAAAAGTGGTTTTTTTCGACTATTCATTCAGATGAGATCGCCCTAATCTAATCATCCATATGACTTATATGGACAGAACATATCTAATATAATACATTTTATTATATTACCATATTATTATGTATGGTAGTTCATCGTATGTAATGTATTATTGCTGTAATTTTATGTTATTTTTTTAAATTCTAAAACAGATAATAATAAATGTCCACAAAAACTGAGAAGATTATTGTTGATCTTTTTACGACATTAATACATGGACGTATCTATGTACTATGTTTTATCGTCGTAATATTTTTTAATGGTTTTAATATCTGTGAATATTATGTCAACTCAATGTTGGAGAGGTCATTTAAAATATATTTTTGTCATACATAGAAATATACTATAAATATATACGTTTTAGAAATTTAATTAAAACCTCAATCAACCTTTTAAAATACTTTTAACACATTTTTATTGAACCTCTTACCATATATTTCAAACCTACTATTGATCTTTATAGGTATAATTCCACTTATTAATTTAAAATACGTTGGCCGGCATTAGGGTTGACATTTGATAATATTCTATTGTGTATACATTTGAGTTGTCACTGAATCAACACAATGTATGAAGAATTTTTCAAAAGTTGTAAGTACTAAAGGATAAACATTTAGGTTTATAATTTAATTTGTTTTTATATATTTGCGAAGACAATATGGAATATTTTTTAAGTCGACATCCCTAACAAAAATAGCCGCATCTAAATTTTTTTTAAATGTTGAAAAGTAAAAGAATCGAGGTATGACCTTTTTTTGTTGGTGGTGTCGAAGTAAGGAATTGTTAAAAAATAAACAACCATAATAATTATGACTTGGACATAATACGCTAAACATTCCTCATTTGACACTTCAAACGTTCGACAAATTCATTATTCATATCAACTTAATAAAACATGCGCAATTATTTTTACCGAACAAAGTTGCTTTAAAATGTGCAACTTATAATTATGCGTCCAACTATATTTTCTAATAAATTGTGTAATAATTATAGTTTTTAATTGCTAAAGTTTACCTTCTTCAAAGCATTGTACGACGTTGCCTATGAACGAGGCGCAATTAACCGCTGTGCTTATTAAAGAGTCTGGCACGACACCGGTGCACAGTGGTGTACATATTCCTGGGACTCCTCGGCGCGTGCAGCAAGCTCCATGATTGCGACCGCCCGCCCCACACTTAATGAGTTTATGGAGTTCTGCACCACAAAATGGCGCTAAGTTTCTGATATCAGTCATATTGGCGTCAAACGAGCACAGCGGCATGCACATTTGTCGAAGTTTGATATTCACGCAACATTCAGTCAGATTATACGACGAGGTGGTCAGCTCACGGTCTTTGACGATCTGTATAAAACAATTAAATGTAGAAAAATATTAATAAAAATAAATTCTTAAGGTATCCGAAAACATTGGATATGAAGTTTCTAAGTATTAACTCAATGGTGTTAATGATAATCAACTGAATCAATGCTATTTTTTTTTTTTTTTTTTGGAATTTTTGCATTACCTTTTAATGTTTTCTTAAACGATGCGAAACATTTCTATACTATACTTGCTAATTATACGAGATTACACGCAATGTCAGTTATGAACGAGAATTGAATAATGAGTTTAATAATGTGTAAATGATTGACAAACTTGCTTAAAATAAAAATTCGAGAAAATTAATAAATTTCAATTATCAAAAAACCATTTCAAACGATTTATATTCTTTTTATGGTATTTACTAGGTATGTATTAAGTTTTAAAATTCAAGGTTCTCGATATTGACTTATTAGTTTAACAAAATTTTACGGCCGGTTCGCTACTGGAATACATTACTACGTTTACTTTTGTGTAAACTTTTAAAAACTTTTCTGCCACTATATAAAAAACTTTATTCCTTCAATTTATCTAAACGCGGAAAACCCGTTAACGGCTCCTGGCAACATTTCAAATATTATGTAATATACATGAATTTGGTCATCGTGGATTTAAAATACTGCTCGATCAGTATTTGGTGCATTTGTAAAAATTAATTATATCGATCAGCGCGAAAGCTTACACGGTACTTCTTAACAAGTTTCATTACCGTGGCAGGTGTAATGTCCTTTTGACAGTTTTTCATACAATACATCATTATTTCTGTTACAATAAAATAAAATAAATATACATAATATATACCTGGCTTTTGGTGGAGAAAACAATACGCTGTGAAGGCTCCCCGGAGCCATGTCCGTTGACAGCTTCCACAAATACTTCATATAAAGTATTAGGTTTTAAATGTTCCAAAATAAATGGAGAATGTACGTTTGTGACAGAATCGTATTCGTCGTCAACTAGTCTGTAAAATACGTTATAATGTGTGACAGTTTCTGCCAAGTCCTTTGGCGGTTCCCAATGGAATATTGCAAAATCAACATCCACGTTAGAAACTCTAAGACGTCTAGGAGCTGACGGAACTATTCCGTATCCTTGTAAAAGACAACTTGTGTAGTCATCCATAAAACGTAAACACCTGAAAACCGTTGCATTTTATTGTTTCTATAATGTATAAATTCGTTAGAATAACTAGAAAAAGCAGCGTTTTATTACTTGAAATAGCTGAAATCTATTTGGGTCAGATTACCAGCACACAATGTTTGACACAGAGGCGGCAAACCTCTTGCACGGCAACAGGGAGTATGATCTATTCCGTTTGTGAGACAACTGAATGTTTGTGATGCCCATGGGGCACAAATCATTAAATCGGTTACTTCGGCTCCGTCGGATTTTGATGGGTCACATAACTTATCTAAACATCTATACGACAAAATATGAACACATTAGATATCACAATTAGGTAGCTAACCAAAAACATTATAGCCGAGTTGGAAAAATATTTTTTTTTAAAAGTCGACTGTAACAACCCACAGACCTACCAAGTTGTTTTGTTAATAGGTATAGAAATATTGTAGGTACTCACGAGGAATGTGTAATGCCCTTTTTAACGCAACATGATCTTATGTCGGGCAATGGAGGTAACTTTGAAGGGTCGGCATTTGCTTTACGTGTAGTCTTTTGATCGGTATTCAGTGTAAGAGATCGTATAGCTAATGAAGGTAGACTAGATCCATGCTTATTAGTAGCCACAATAGTTACTTCATACATTGTGAATGGTGTCAAGTTGTCGATTTTGACTTCATACTCGGTTCCCGGTACCTTGGAAAATGATATATTATGTACTATATTATTCGTATACTTCTTATCAACATTTTATTATATAACTGGGTTCAAAGATTTTAAACAATGCTCTTATTTATATACCTCGAGAAGTATTTAACATTAATGTGTTAACAAAAAAAATAAGGTACTTGATAAATTATACGTTTTTAAACGTCATCGTCAAAACTTTTATCGATTTATCTTGGTTAACACTTTTAAAAATACCACAGTCGTGCAATTCTTTAGAAATGTCATGTCGAAAATCCATACCGTAATAAAATAAAATACCATTTCATAAGTACACGACGTGACGTCCGTTATCATGTTTTAAAAGTTTAACGTTAGTGCTTCTAGGTATTACTCATTAGTTTTTTTCTAATTTTCTTGTTTTAACATTGCCGTTTTTTAAGTAAATACCTAAGATATTTTAATCGCGGTAGGTACTTTCACACATTTTATTTACTAAACTATCTTCACTAAGCATACTCGAAATAGCTTGAAAAAATTGATGCATGGTAATACAATATATTGTGATCTAATGTTATTGTATCTTTTTTGCACGCCATTCATTGAGAAATGAGATAAAGAGGGTCAAACAGAATAACTATTGAGAGCAAACACTACAAGCTTACCGCCACCCTAGTGTACTTGCATGGGTTGGAAAACTACTTAAAACTCATAGAAATAAAATGTATTAAACCATCTAAGGATTTTGAATAAAAAAGTAGGCAACCTATTGATGTATTTTAGCGTCTTATCTTTTATAAACACATCTTGTCCCGTGGGAATTTGACACTATAGAAATCATAAACATCAAATTGCAGAAGATAATTTTATAGTTACTAAATATTAAAATATTTTTTTAGCATTCCACTAATGATGCACCGAGCACATGATTTAGAGTATATAGTATAAAAGGACTGTATACTACGGAACGTGCCCAAATCGATAAAAATGTAAGCAATTATTCTAAAAAATAATTTTCAACAGATTTAGTCAACGGGCGGTAATGGCTATTTACTTTTAGCCCTATTAACAAAGTACAATAGGCAATGCGCCTATTGTAGTATAATATATTATAATAGATAATAGATACTAAAAAATAATGTGTGTGATTAAATGTGTGTTTATTTATTTAACATGACGGTGGTAACATTTTATCACAACCTAGTTAGCTCGTTTGTGGAAACTTATTTTTTTAAAGACTCGAGTATTTATTGAAACAAACGATTTTAATAAAATATAATTCGCAGTCCCTGGAATAATAAAAAGTGTAGGTACAAACTAAAATCGTATACAGGTATTGTTTATATATGTACCTTTACTTGAATACTATGAGGTGTAACAACCGATTGACTATTGCCGTCGTTATCTGGGAACGAGCTTATGCTGTCAAACGACTTCAACATGGTCACGTTTACGACAAATTCTTTAACAGACGCCGAATTGGACTTAGGCTTGTCCCACGATATTTTAAATAGGGAGCTGCTGTTGACTATAACTTGCACATCTTCGGGCTGGCTAGGTAGGATCTCTAAAAATCACAACGAACCAATTACACTTAACTCGATAGAATATTTATTAATTTTCTTCTATGAATATAGTAAGCGTCACTGAACACGTAAACATATTATTTATATACGTATAATACAGAGATAATGTTTTCTAAATATCAAGGACTGTTTGCGAAACGTTCTACGACAAATATTCTACGAGAAAAGTTAGTTTTTTTTAACTAACGACTAGCACACAATAAAGAGTTTTTATATCAATCATAAATGTTTACCTATCCCCTCAACGATGCATGCCAATGTCTGTTCGGTGTAGGGTGAACACGAGACCATCGTTTTTATATTGTCTGTGATTGGAGTGTACTCTCCTTGACAAACATCTTGGCATATGTCGGGAATACCTTCTTGAATACAGCAAGGAACGTGATTTCTACCGTCTACAACAAAAAATAAAAAATAAACAATTCTTAACAATTAATAAAGTTTATTTTTACCTATGCTTTAATAGTGTGAAAGAGTCATATGGAATAGGAGGCGATGCGGCCGATGGTAGGAAGAGAGATAAAAATGATAATCGTTCGAGGAGAGAAAGTATTGTATAAAAAAAAAAATACATGCTAACCAACCTGCCATGCATTTCACGATGGACTTAAAATCCGGCTCGCAGTTTTCCGGGTCTTGCCCGGTGCTTCCGTCCAATATGCTTTGTATATTACAAAATCCTAAGCAGCTCGCGCTCACGTTTCTTGCTATACAACAGTCCGTGTAGTTGTGGTTTTTGACGTCGATCGCCTCGGTTTCGTCATCTTTGCCGTAGTACACAGAAGTAATGTTTTCTAGAGGCGGTTCAAGATTAGAAGAGAGCACTGTAAACATTTCAATTTTCAACAATTATTATTGGTATGGCGTGTGTTTGCAATGAAAATACAAATGAAAAAACTTACCCGATAATGTGTGGAACGATCTGACGACTGGGTCGCTATTTACCTCGCAAGCGTACACACCGGAGTCGTTAAACTTGACATTCTTAATTGACAACACCCAGACGTCACCACCTGCAAAAAAACAGTATTATGAAAAAATGAATCAATTTTTTACCGACCAAGATCCTGGAAATATAAAAAGTTGTCAAAAGTAAAAATAATGATAACCACTTGTAAAGGGAAACTGTTTTAATTACACGGTTAGATACTACGGTTGCAACTTCATTTTATAAATCCAGTCGTTTTATTAAATAATAAAGTAACCCTATCCGCAATAATGTATATGATTAATGAATGTGTATGATTTAAACTGACTAAGTAATCCACGTGAAGATAAAATAATATTTGATTTATTTTTATGAATATTTATTCAAAAATATAAAACTAACTTTAATACAACGCTAATTTTCGTATAAATATTAAGCGTCAACAAAGTTGTAAATACCTTCGTAAAATATTTAATTTAAAGATTAAACAAATTAGTAAAGTATATACATTTTTGTTGGCCAATAATAAGGAAAATTATTACTTTAAGGCATGTTGCATCATAATATAATTGTTACGTAAATTTGGTCATTCCTTTTTATTTATAATTTACAATAAATAATTAACTATCAGTTATATTTTTATTTATTTAGAAAATAATATACGTCCTTGTAAAATGATTAAATAAAAGTAATAAATTCAGAAAAACCTGAAATTAACAAATTGATAATTTAATAACAACTAATTGTTCAAATAAAAATCAATTAAAGAAATTAAATATTAAGGTAAGTTGTTAAATTTTTAAAAAGGAAAATAGAAGCTTCATATACATAAAATACTCATTATTTATTTTAAAGATGATGTGTCTTAATATATTATATTAGTAGTTTTAACTGGACACATAGTTACTTATAATAATAATTATAATTTTAAATATTTGGTGTACATTTTGCTTATAAATTACACAATTTTTAGTTTAAAAAAGACATGGCGTAGCCGATTGAGATAAAGCGGTCGGTCCCATGTTCATTTCTCTATCGTGGGCGATTTAATTCTCTAACGTAGACCACCGACTATAGAAAAAATAGCCACCCTCTCTTCTTGGTTCCCAAACTTAAGATTTTTGATAGCCAGCTGTAATCCCAACCGGGCAATTGAACCACCTCGTCGGCCTGAACACGACTGATAGGGGAATTATAGACGTTAAAAGTGAAGAAGAAGAATCACATTGTTTATCATTTAACCATTTTCATTTAGCGGTCTGAAACTCTTGTCTTATCATGTTTAAATTATAATTAAAAGTCAAATGTTGAACGGTCTCTCAGATCTACACTGTAATCAGAAAAGTACATTTTCAGAATAATAAATAAAATATATAGTTTAAAGTATAAAAGTAAGTAAATAGTTCAAGATGGTTACAAATTTGGGTATGTAGTACTTCAACTGAGAGCTATAAATTGTCATTCTATATGCGAAGAAATTCGTGCTATTTAATACATTTGTTTTAATAAGTTTGTTTAGTTTTGTATTTATTTACGTTAGGAGCCCTTTACATTTTTATCTTGACAAATTACCAATTCTGTTCAAATATAGAATATTAGAAAGCTGTTTTCATTTGCCATTAGACGAGAAAATAAGTTTATCTCTAAGATAGGTAATTAATTATTTTGGTTAGGCCACATTATTGGATAGCTTTAAAAATAGTAATATTTAATTGTTATATACTTTTGGACCAATTACATTCTGACAATTTTAACAACGAATAATATTGAATAATTCAACTTTAAATGTATCTTAATACAAATAACATTACTTAACCAAGTTGTTATTTTTTTATTATTTTTGCCGCCATAGCATTTTTTACTTTTGGCTAGCAAACATTTTGCAATAAAAAAGAAGTATAAATTGTTTAACATATTTTGAGGTTGTTTAAATTTTAAAATAATAGATAATAAATGACATTAAATTACAACCACAGAATGTTAATCTATGTTACAACATTCTAATCAATTATTTTAAACAAATTCCAAAAAAACATTTCATATCGTGTAAGTCATTTTAATCATACCGGAACGATAACGTCAACATAAAAATAAATAAATGTGTTACTTATTAACAGAACAAACTAACCTAACGGCCGTAAGTCATTGAACAACATGTAAAACCATGACGAAAACTTGTCACAAGGGCAGAGACTAAAAAAAGCGACGTTAGTATTCAAGTTGTACAGGTAAATGGTGCCCGCTCAAAATCGCCCAAGTTATTAAATATCTTTTCTAAGTAAATAGTATACCAACTATTTACCCGGACGCAAGTAGACTGCATATTTAACTTTTGACACTTATCTCTACCGGCTTTAACAGTGACACTATTACAGTAGGGACTAGGGGTTGTAATGCTATATAGTAACTCAAAAGAGGCGGAAGAAGTTTTCTAGCAAAAGCGAAAGTTACTGTAGTGCCGAATTTATTATGTGTGTATATTGTGTAAGTGAATTAAAAACTCCAAAATTTAAACAACTTTTAACAATGGTATTTATTTATAATAAAACAAAATTTGCCTATTTAGGAAAACAAAATAACTACCAGACTGACAAAATCACAACTGTGAAATTTACAACTCTCATGTTAGCCAAAAATAATAAAATTTAGTTTAACAAGAAATTTTCAATATAATTCACATACAAACACATAAATGACTGCAAATGCCCTTTTTACACAACAATATAATGAATAACTAACATAAAACCTAAAATACCAACTACGTAATTACAAAAGGAGAATACAATTCATATAATTAACTTAATTTGGAACACTATGCACTAGTAGTTTGTAAATATACTTACAAAGTATTTATTTTATACCTTACAACTAAAAAGTCATACAGCTTATATTGCTCATTATTTTCTGTGCTTTCATTCCGTTTGACATTTTAGACTATAGTTTCCGTAAACCACAAGTAAGTCTAAAAAATAACTAAATTATTCTATTCGACATTTAGTCATATGCTTAGACACCCAAACAGCGTTTGTATAATTTTACCAAATGTTTAGGTTATGCTAATATTATACTGCAAAATTTGTATACTCGAAAACTGTCATGATGCATGTCTGATCGAGCTATACCGGGTGAGACTTTTATTTGGCTTAGCCGCGGCTAGTCACAATACCGTCAGTCGAAATTAACACTTGAACGAAGACATTAAAAACGTTACATGAAAAACTTGCACCCAAAACGTCTTTATTATTCAAACGTACACTCATTCTTGTCGCTAAAGCTACGAATTAAAAATGAAGTAAGTTGTTCATTACCGTCACTTTTAATAATAAAATTCTCTATTCACCGGCAGCATTGAGAAGATTCTCCAAATAAACTGTACTGAATCCTACGACCTGAACGTAATTATTAAGGATTATTTTGGCAGTTTTGTATATTATGAACTATACGCCCTTGTCCTACCTACACCGTGCCAACGCCCTCAACGACGTCACGCCCGGTCATCGTCACTTCCTTATCTCTCTCCATTCGCATAGCTTTTAGCCCGCTGGAACCCCTATCCCAGATAAGTTATCTGTCGCGGAAAGGGCGAGAATACTAATTATTCATAATCTGAGGCTTTACCTAAACGTGTATTCTGTGTTTGACAAATTTCTTAAAGTTGTTGCGCGTAGAATTTACAGTGTATATCTTGTGACACAAAATTAAAATTTACTACGCTGTTTATTCGCTCCACGCACATGCGACAAGGGCGTTTAATCCGCCGGATACACATATAGTTCACTTTATGACGGTTTTATTGCATTTTTCATGCTGAACAATAAAAAGCCGCCACATTGAATTGATACATACCAGGATAGAAACACGCTTGAGTCTATCGTTTTTTAATATTTTTTATTTAGGTTGTGAAACGCGTTTAAATTATTTCCAGGAATCAAATAAATCCCGACTGTACCCGAGAACTACACAATCAAATTATTTTCACTTAAATCCTGCCAAGTATAAATGAAAATAAATTCGTATAATTTAACTACTCTTGTTTTTGCATTACTACCAAAAAAATTTAAATGACCCGTGGAAGTAAAAATTAAGTAACCTGTAAATTTGTGGACAACATAGTTCTTCTCTGGCTTTCCTAAAATATATTTCCAAGAGTAATATGGTTCACATAATTTATACTTTTAAATGTATTTAATGCTATAAGTTCTATTTGAATTATTATTTTAATTCTTGATCAAAACATTATGCAACATTCTTCAGTAACTATACAAAACGTATTAAGTATGATGTAAATGAAATGTATTTTTTTTGGATGACATAGTTAATTATATTTACAGATTTAAAACTGGATATCTCTAAATCGGTTCAGATGGCTGACCTATTATCTAAGATCTAGCATTTAAAGAAAAAATATACACTCTTTAGTTTTTAGGCTCGCCACATTTGGCAACTCTGATTGGCATAATCTGATATGCTATTAAACTGAATTTCGACACCATCAAGATAAATTGCATCATCAAGTAAATTCAATTATATGCAATTCGTACGCCTAGCAGATAACACTATTTTGGTATATGCTGGGTGATGCGATAATTATTTAAGATTCCAAACATGAATTCTGAAAGTAATTCACCACAACTTTACCAAACTGCCAACTGGCATACTTATTATATTAAAGGTTTATTTGTTGGTGGAAAACTTGAGTTTTTATGTGATCAAAAATCTTCACGGACAGTGTAAAGTTTTTAGGGTTATAAAAAAAGTTTTTCACAATTATTTTTCTGCGGGCAAACTTTACTTTCTCTATCTTTTTCGTTTTTCTTTTATACCCCAATATCGCTACCACTACGAAAATGCATGGAAAATTCCTATCTGAACATGATTAAATAACTACGAAGAATAAAGGATTCTAATCGATTTGGTATAAGGTAGTCTACTTTAACTTACCTTATTTCAAAGACATATCTACAAAACTTTTTGAATAAGTAAACGAATTTTATTGATCGCCAGAGAGTATGTGCAATTACCTCACGACCCTTTCAAGTATGTTTTAATCGATTTAGACAAATATACATATATACATGTATAAACTACATAGGTATATTGAATTACTATTCAGTTTGCGTTAGTTTAAGTGAATGTGTTTTGTAAACAGTTACAAAAAGCATTTATATACATTAAATATACTTAAGAGTAGTTTTTATGGTAAAATATAACCGTCATTATTTACTCAAACGGCGTAGAAATAGTATATATGAATATTTATGTATAGTCGTTACGAATGTATAGAGTTAGCCCCTAAACTTTTTTAAATATAATATGCGAATGAATTAAATAATATTTTTTTATTAAAAACACGCTTAGATAATTATTAATTTTAGATATGATTTTTATGTTTAGGCACTCTAATACTTTACTTAAATATCATATTATATTTTTTTTAATTTTAGTTATAGTTAAAATAAAATAAAAAATACAGTTAAAACAAGTCAAAATTGGAAAATCAGCTTTGAATAATCGTTCAATTAGAACAATAATGGAAAACAATTATGTGCATTGTAAAACATAGGTACACGGTATTTGTAATTTAAGTGATGTATAAAGACAATATAAAATAGTATAGTATGTATTGTGTACTTACGCATTATATGCATAGTACAATGATAACTAATATGTTTTTTAACACAGTCTTACCTTTGTCGTGCAGAACTTCGAACCTCCTGTCGGCAGTAATTCTAGATTCCGCGGCAGTCAACACTTTCCAGCTGTGTCTATCCTTATTTTCAGTTTTCCACAAAACTGTGTGATCGCCTAAATTTCTTACGACACATGTCATTAAAGCCGAATCGCCCTCTTTAGAATGTAGTGGTTTTGCTGTCGGTTCTTGCATTACCGGTAACTCCGCAATGTCCACCAATCGCACTAAAAAAAAAAACAACACATTTAAACGTCTTCGTTAATATTTGGGTCATTATAACTAGGTAATGAAATCGACCTTCAACATAACTACTTGTCTACCCCTATTGTTTGGTATCATCAGGAGGGCTAATGATTTTATCGATTGTTTGTGCAACTGGGCCAAAGTTCAAAAGCGTTCATCATAAGCATCAGATTAGTACTATTGATACCTAATATGATGTCCTTCAAGATACGTCCATACACATACACGCACACCTCTTCCATTAACGTTTATGAAATTAATTTATGTTGTCATAAAGGCAATGTTAATTATATTGTATTAGTTAGTATGCATTGTTTCTAGGGTCACATTAATTTAATTTTTAGGCTAATATACTAACTTTTTTTTTTAATTTGAATAATGTCTAATACTGTAAAATAACATAAACTAATGTGTTTCTAAAAAAATCTACAAAATATCAATAATTTTAAAAGAAAATTAATGTCTTATCCTTAATGAATCATACTGTATATGTTTTCAGTTTTACAATTAATTTATGAGTTATTGTATCATATAATTATTATATATAATTTTTTTTTCAATAGAATATATATTTATCTAATCATAGAAAATATAATATCTAAAAAACACCGAATAGGTATGGATTTTAAATGTACGTAGAGTGATATAAAAACGCCCCTGTCAGGCTTTATTGTTTCAACAATACAAGAAGAGCACAAACATACACAGAGGCATTTAAAACAACATTGTTTATTTTATAAAAATGACGGTAGCAAGGACTGAGAATAGTACCGTCCAAAAGACACCTGGGTCACATCCAATCGTAAATCTTCGCATTTCAACCACAGCCTAGTACATCTTTTGCACCAATAAATAACAGCATGTAACAACTGTGCACAAGGGTAGCAGTACAGTAAAGGGTGCGTTTGAAATGTACATCGTCATTTGCAGGTGTCAAAGCACAGAGGAATGGATAATCGAATGCTACATAATTCATGTGCTATGTTTTATTGTTCGTGAAATACAACTCATCAAAAAGAATTAAAAAGTTTGTCGTGTAAAATGGTTTGTACAAAATACCATTATACAATGTGCAAATCTATCTACTGTCCCAATGATTATGTATAAAGTATACTATATAACACGTGTGGCAAAGCTGTTTTGGCAATTTCGTTTTTTTAAGGTTATGTTAGTACAAATAAAAACATTATTAAATTAGCTTAAGCTTAAAAATAATATTTTTAAAACATATGAAGATAGTTTTAGCTACGCTAAAGTTTAAAATTATTTTATTATTATTTAATACATTTTGTTATGTGAACTATAATTTTTATATTTTATAAATAAACTATCTACTAGATGTTTTGTAAGTACTAACTTTTATAAAGTATACCACGCACTCGTATACATCAAAGTGATTTTTAGTGAATCGTGTATATTGTATTTTTTTTTTAATTACTTGTATCATTTGTGCGTCGAGGTTGAAAAAATAGAGTGTATAGTGTACGAGTACACTTATTTATTGAATAATGCATACACCACTTTTGAGCCAGAAAAAACACGAGAAGAATACTTGAAATTTAAGCAAAGCTTTATAAAAAAAACATGTTCAACAATATATTGGAGTTTCTTTCCCCTTAGAATCTACAAGAACGGTAGGTACTTTAAAAATCATTGTTCCAAAAGTGTTACACTGGGAAAATTATAACGCTTAAAATAAAAACATTTATATACTATTATAAAACAATGAAAACCTAGTATTTTGTTGTAGTATAAGTATAGTTATACATAGTATACCAAATAATATGAGAAATTGATACTAACATTCGTACTAAAACTACTTTGAGTTTAAACATACCGTGCTGAAATTAGTTGGTAAAGAAAAAATTATGATACGCAAATTCTTTTTTATCTAATTTTTATTATACTTAGAAATTTTTTAAGGGGCGTCGTGGTTAAAATTCGAAAATCGACTTTTTAAGGACTACCTTAATGAATACTAAACTACATTAAAAATACACAGTTACATTATAATTTAAATTCGTATCTTATTTGTGATCCTTTTTTGTCACAATATATTTTTTATAAATCGTTACACAAACAATAACAATGAAATCACATAAATAAATAAAATATTAAGTTGGTTGGCTTTAGCGTCAGCGTGTTTTAATTTAAAAATGAATTATTTATTTAATTTATATTTAGCTACGTTACAATACAAAAAATTTAATAGGTAATTTTGGTGATGTTTTTGTTAATTTTTTCCTACTTGTGAAATATAAATTAAATACGTAATATCATTGATTATATATTGTAAAATATAAACTTAATGGTAATATGGAGTTAACATAAATAAAATATGCTTTAAAAGGTAAAAAATTATGGAATTATCGTTTTTCAACTAAAATTATTTCAACAATTCTAAAATTAACATTGATAAAGTTCATGAATCCGAAAAATTACTATTATGTTTATTTATTCTCTTACTTTAATTATAGTAGGCTGGTAAGAAAATTCTCACTAAATAACTTACTGTACTTATGTTTTAGGGTCAATATAAATTAATTTATAGGTTGATTCTATGATAAATAAAAAGCAATATTTTCATTTATATGTATCCATAAGTTATTATATGTTTAATGACAGAGTGGGCATTAGCACTCATTTATAATGTTATTGTCTTCTAACGAGTTAACCGTAAACCAAGTTGGCCATCAAATCAATTAGTTCAAATCAATATCTCGTCAGCGTAATGCCAAAAATAAAATTATTTGTACACAAATAAGAAAATAAAATATAACCCAAGGTCTGTTGTGAGTGCTTAGATACCGTGTCAACCGACAAACCTACACCGACATTGTTTCGTTTTCCAATTATCAACTACCTATAATATATAGTCGGAACGGAGCTGTTGCCATTACTACGAAAGCTTATGACCTTCTTATAGAAAACTATACATGCATACTTGGTTTCCATCTTATTACGAATCATAGGTTAACTAAAAAGTTTTTTTTCCGTAAATAAAAAATAAGTTACCTTTTGTTTAAAAAAATATGAAAAAATGTTATGTTTTAAAAACTGTATATATTATATTATATTAGTAGCTTCTACTTGAAGCTAGCGATTAATTGTAAAGTACATATTGTTATACTATTTGTCTTCAATATTTAACAAAACTAATGAATCCATACAAACACATAGAAAATATACATGTTATTTCGCTTTTTTCTTTTAAAAATTACACTGACTTTTAAAAAAACTGAAAGTGAAACACTTTTGTGAAAATTAAATAATAGGAAAAACGTAAGCTTATCCTCAATGACTAACGAAGTATTCAAAGTTAAATTGTTTATTCAAAGTTAATTTAAAACAGTTGGATACAACAGTATATTTATATACATTTGCTTACTTATGTTATTTAATGTAGGTATTTCACTAATACTTTAAATGACATTTATAATTGATCCTATTTTGTCGTTTTTTAGACCAAATCTAAAATCATATTTTAATTATTTATTATTATAAAGATTATTATTGATTCATAAAAAATAAAAGTGTTTTAAATAGGTCATTTTTTCAAAATGTCAGTTTATCGTTAAAAATTCGAGTGTAACATGATAACATCTGATAACCCTGTGATAAGAACTATAAAAAAAATAGTATTGTTAATTCAAATTTAAACGGAACAGTGAATGTTTAAAACTTATTATTTAACCGGTCCAGTTGTGACAAAGAGGTTGATTTGTGCCGGAGGGAAAATGAAAATTACAGAGAGAGAGTGAGAAAGGGGAAAATGGGTAGTGAGAGGGAGTGGGTAAGATTAAGAGGTGGTGGGCAAGAGAGTGACAAATATTAGGAGCAAAATAGACGTATAGCGTGCGAAATTAACGAGAAACTGCAATATACGAATTTACCCGCGATAATGACAGCATACCTAGTGTCACCAACATTCGCTGTCGTAGCGATTTTACTATATATATATATATACACATGATGGTATATAGATATTTGATTTTCCATTAGCGAGTATGCGTCCTATCTAATTACTATACAAAACATTAAGTCCACATTAATCTGTTGGTTCCAACGCCATTATCACCACCCTCGGGGTCACGAACGTTTATTCACGACGCGTTGGTTTCCTATAAGAGTACGCCGTACAGCAATACAAAAATCTTTCTATGCCACTGTCCTTTTTTTTTAAAGGAGAATGGCAAGTATTAATTGTTCACCGCGGTTTTGGACCTTCTCCCGAACACGGGAAACACGCAAAAGCGTCCCCATTGACCGCGTTAAAACTCCATAAATTCACAATCCTATCTCTCTCTTAACGGCCGTTGAACACTGAAATTAAAAATAATTTTACCTTCAGCTGCTATCCGCTTATACTTCAGGACGTTTTGACGACGACTACTCCTCGATGTTCCGGACCGGAACTTCCGATTCGTCATCAGTATTTTGAATGTCGGGATAGAGCCGATAACAGCGACCGAAACTAACACGAGAAGTTTTTTATCAGGCCCTAAACGACTCGGCAACATGAGAAATATTGACCGACGTTTTATCTCTACGCCGAGGAAATTCAAAATACACTCCACCCTATATTATCACAGATTATAATTTCTCTGAAAAAATTATCTCTGCGTAGTGTTCCTTTCAAAATAAAGACGATAATACAGTTTTTTTATTTATTTGAACATTACTTATGTTTGTCGAAAACAAGTTTTGTTGATATCCAATTAGTAATTAAGTAATTATTTAAACTGTTTTTCTGTAGAAACCATTTTTTAAAGCACACAATAGGTTTTTTTTAATGACGTCGTAAAATCTTGGTGAGTGTGCCTAATCACAGCATTAGTGTAAAATATACTCTACAGCAGTGTTCTACTTGAATTTTAAAGACATTCTTAAAAACATATGAACAACCAAATGTTAAGTAAGATATTTTGAAACACTACAATACATCAATCTACTTCTTTTCATATCACTTATAACTACACAAAAAGTAAAACCATGGCTGGCGACCTAGTTGTGGTTATAAAACAGCATAAAAACAAGGTTGAAGGCGTCTAAATGTAAAAGAAAATTAATAAAACGCATACAATGAAGAGAGCTCATGAAAATTTAAGTCCTTACTATAATAAAGATACGCTGTCTTGTAAGTTTCCAAGATGTTAAAATAAAACCGCAGTGACATATTCTCACATGATAATATTCATAAATGATCTCATTTCATACTTATTAAACATTTCTTTTTGTGAATAACTGAACATACTATAATAATATTTAAAGATCATAATAAAAAAATACAGTAAAACTGAGAATTTATTTGTTCAGTTTTATTACTGTTGTAGTTTTTTAATTTTTTTATTTCCCTATTCTTGTAATACTTATTTAGGTACTTTATTATACGTCTTCGTATACTAATAAGTATCTTCTTTAATTACTAACTATACCTTAAAAAAATCATACCAATTAAAATACCTTCCTATTTATAATTGTATTATTTAATTAATATTGTGTTTTTTATTTAAAGTGAAAATGGTGCAGAGATAATAACTGCGACACATTGATTTAGTAAGTACCTACCTAATAGTAGGAAGTACCTATTTATATTTTTCACATAGCAATTTTGTTAGTTATTTTCAAGGTGGACTAAATTTATATTATTTGGTAACTTAAATATCATAGTATGTGATACTGTTGTATGTGTTAACATACGACAGTTGTAGATTTAAAGTTAATGTAGACAAAATATTTTCAATATTGAAAAATTATTGATATTCAGTTAAATGGAAGTAATGTGAGATTCAATTAGCTTTCTAACTGATGAGGCATAAAATAATATTCAATTGGAGACTTGAGTACAAAATTTAGTTTAGTTAAATATAAAAGTATAATGAAACAATAAATTAGGAATGTAAGAAATTTTACTCATCTTGAGTGTGGTAGACACGATAAATATAAATAAGTAAACTGACGTCACTATATGTACCTTGTCACACACCTAGACAAAACTTGATACTTAAAACTCTCTTCTTTTACTTTAAAGAAAAGATTGGCAAATTATATTGAAATTTTAATATTTGTCATGTTAAGAGAAGCTGATAAGTATATAAACAACTTACAAAAATGATACAAAAATAAAATAAAGGAGGATGTAAGAAACTTCTTTTTTATGACGTTTTTAGATTAATATTTATATTCTGTTTTCATACAATAAGTATATATTATAATAATTGGGCAATAAATTAATATTGACATTGCTAATAATTGATATGAGGTAAACATATCACAGTTAAGACGTCTCTAACTGTGCCCTCTAATTTTGCGAGAGTATTTTATTCCATTAAAAATTACTCGACCTAGTTTTTGTGGTATCTGTTATTCTATTAGTGAATGATAAGTATGAGTTTTTTTTTTATAATACTTATGTTTAATAAAAGTCTATTGTTCAAATTTTACATTATACTACAAGTCAATAGTTAAATACATTTATATCTCCTTAAAATAGGTATTTTGTAAAAAGAAATGATGTAGTAAAACTTTTAAACTTTGCCCTCTTTTTCTTGCATCAATATTTTCAATTATGTAATATCTATTTCTAAACTAGATATTGACCAGATATTTTATGTTTAGAAATGCATTCTCGTTTAAGTTATTCAACATATTTAAGTTACCATTATAGTTTAAAAGTTACCCTTCAAATATTGCTGTACCCATTACTCTCTTAAAAAAGTATTTTTGAATCCTATACTATTAATTATTTTAGATCGTTAATTATAGTAAGTGTATTATATTTAAGATACATGATACGTTTGTACTCAGATTATTTATTTGTAGATAAACAACTCTGAAAATCGTATACTTAACGAACATTATGTTAAACAAAATAATTATTATAAAAAACTTACCATTGTGAATGATGTTAATGAGGAGAAAAACGACTGGACAGATGTGCACGTTAATTATCATAGTGCCCCGTCGATTCCACTAATTCGGAGATATTTGCTAAATAAAAATAGAAACAAAAAATTGCATTATGGTTTGAACTATTTTAATACGACACATTATAATATATTAGATATTGATTAGAATTATGATATTGTATTGTATATGTAATGTGTACGTGTATTTGATTTGATCAATGTGTTACGACAGCGACCAGAATGAGTGCGCCTGTGATTTTGTTGTGATACACTCACCTAATGTTCAATACGTGACTGGAAGTTTTAACTGAAACTAATGGAGGGGTTACAGCAGTAGTAGATATCTGAGGAGGGACGTGACGAAATCATAAACCCCAAAAAAGACACAGAAAACATATTGTCTCAAGATCCGCTGTAGATAATATTTGTTTTTATAAGCATCGTTTAGACATCTGTCTTTACTAATGGTCTAATAGATAAAGAACTCTAATATGAAAACAAAAAAGTTTTGCATCGGCGTTTTTCGAAGGTCGGGTAATGACTTTGATGATTTTGTGATAACAGTGATAATACTAATGAGTGTTTAGATTTCTGCATTAACAATCCGAATATGTTAAAATATATACAGAAAGTTAACTTAATTTATTTGTTGGCCTTGACATAAGTATATTACATGGCGTGCGCGTTTATTCATAGAATTTGTAAAAACTTCAAGACCTAACTACCACGTAGGTACGCTATTATTTTTTCCCCTCACGACCAAATCGCGTTTTCTACATTAATTCCTCTATGGCTTATAATTAATCGTTTTAAATTTATTTCAACTAGCATGTACACTATTTAGTATTTATAATTCACTTAAAAAATAACTTGAAAAAATGTTACCTCTTGTTAGCAATCTAATCCACATGATTTACTTTTCTTTAACATTCGGTTTGTATAAACACTTTAATTGATTCCACAGATATACATTACAATTAGATAACCGTCTTTCTATAATAACAATATCGAACATTGAAGTCGGGAAAATGTCCGACTTTTTTAATCAAAGTTTACATATTTCTATAATTGATAACACAGAAATTACGTATTGGGTATGTGGCAATTTATTGTTAAAATTTATTAACGTTAAAAAACTATGATATTATTATAGTAAGTCAATTATTCTAAACTTTAAAATTCTTAAGTTAAATTTTTAATTTTTATATGATCTTTCATTATAACTTGGGGCTCTTTGATTAGAAAAGTTGGTCATTTTCCTATTTCAGCTTTAATTCTTAGTCGGCTATCTAGTTGTGTTATATATTATTTGTGATTGATTCATAATAATTGAATGACAAAAGACAACGGCATTGCCGTTACGGCAATCTAATTTAAATATTTATCTATTATTTAAACAATTTTTTGAAAAATGTTTTGCTATGTTTAGGTACAAATCAAACATTTCACAAATTAATCAATACTATTTTATCTAACTGTGCATTATTATTTCGATTTCAAATAAAAATAGTAGTTTGTAAGTCGTTAACACTACAAGTTGTTCTAGCCAAATAATTACAATACTTAGAAAGAAAACCACGAAGTGGTTAAAATAAAAGATTTGTTATGTTTTATATGCTATTTCGTAAATTTCCGATAGAGTAAAGATACTAAATCCACAAATACTAACAGATCTTATATATATTTTATAATTAATGGGCATTGAAGTACAAACATTTACTTCTAGTACACTTTAAAGATAACGATATATTTTTGTCTAAACCGTTAAAAGCGTTTTGCGATCAAGACAATAGATTATCAAAAGCTATACGAATTCATTTGAAAAAAAAATGCACATTTTTTCGGTATCTTTCGGTTTTGTTATCGACATGATTTAAATTATCAAAGACAATTATACTAACATATTTTACAGAACACCATATAAATGTCATGCCTATTGTTATATCTTATTATATTACCTTTACCTGTAATTTAATCGATTAATTTCGTTAACAATACCAAATTGAGATCTGGTTTTGAGGCGTTGGCTGTGTGACAACAGAGTTGAATTATGGCCTATATAAAAGTTGTGCCTGTGGACATCATGTTGATGATAGCAATAATTTTCAAGAGGCGGATTCAATTTAAGTATATATTTTACCTACGAGCAGTTCGTAAACAAATATCGACAAATCGTTATGTCGTGGACAATTCAAAATTAGTTTTACATAGCACAGTATAATATTGTTCATACACCTATTATTGTTGACAAACCTTGCCTATCATTTGCAGCATCTGCTTTTTCGAAAATCAATTCTTTGCTGTCTAGTTCGCTATATGCGAGCATCGTGGATTTATTGTACCCGTAAAACGTGATTAATTTTCCTTTCATTGAAGGGTGTCTAATGTCCACTATTAGAGAACTAATATTAATTTATGACCGATACGTTGCTAGCTATTTTCAAAAAATTAAACTAACTAATCTCCGCATACATAATATTATTACCATTGTTACCTGTACTATTTTCGGCCATACTTCTGCACTGCAAATATATGATAATGTACCTATATAAAATATCTTTACCGGTAAAAAAAATGGCCAGAAGGGGAAAGAAATAGATGGAATAAAAAGATAGAATCCTTGATAAAAATAATTCTGTGTGGTTATTTTGAGGGGTGCAATAAATTATGTATGGACCGGGGCGGCAATCGATTCGACAGGCGGACAGTCCTTGGAGTTTATAATCCAAGAAGCATTAAAAAAAAAATAGACAGTAGAAAAAATCGTTAGGTGTACAATAGTTTGACATTCCGCACGCCTACAACGCAGAAGGAAAATTATATATAGGTATATCGTAATGGTCAACCAGTCGCATTATGGCGAAATTATCATATTAAGTTAGCTAGATCAAATCGATTCGTCATAATTAGCCAACTCAATAGCATTCGGTTTTTAATGCAATGTTAATCAACACAAATAGTTGCTATTATTTTACTGGCACACTTCGCCTTTCTTCCATGTGTAATGAACCAAATGCGATGATGGAATTTGGCGAGAAAAATAGATTTACCCTTTAGACCACCATCGAACGATAACACAACAGTCAAATTAAGTATACACCACGCTATGACAACGAAAAAAAACATTGTCTAGATCATACATTTTACACTATGCCATTGTGATTAAAACTCAAGAGTGTAGACAATTATCATACGCATGTTATACAAAACGATATTAACTAACAAAAACTATTCAAACAAACACGCCGTTAAAACTCAATAACATTTAAATACGTTATGTTACTAATATACAAAAGTAATGTATAAATAATAATAATGCACAGTATAGTATAGTATCTAATATCTATGTTAATTATTTAAAAAGTAAGTCTATTTTAATTATCTTTTTAGAACTCTTTTTTACTATTCGTGTTAAAAATATTAGATCTATTTATGATGATATATGATTTTTATAGCGATTTGAAACATTTACTGAGTTCTTTTATCTGCATTTTATAGATACATATAATACACATAATTAGTCTTAGATACCTTTAAGTCTTGTTGTCCTTTTGAGAGGACACATTTTATCTCAGGATCAGGCTGTTCGATCGATTTGGGACCAACATTTTTTTAAATGTTAGTTTAATTCAAAAGAGTTGAAAAAAAAGGTTTTGTCCTAACAATAGAAATTCATGACGGAAAGGGTTAAGTTGAATCAAATTAAAATTACAAGTTTTTCGTACAATTCTAAAATGTCCAAAAATGTAATTATATTATGTATGTATAAAGATATTAAACACCTTAATAGTATTATGTATTGGAATATTACGTTGAGATAAATTTAATAGTAATATTATGTATCAGGAATAATCACTTTAAGTACCTAATTCGCCATAATTTAATTCAAAACAAAACATATTTATCATTAGTCATTACTTTTTAACTGTCAAATTATAAACCTATGCATTTACTCTTGGGAAGATCCTTAAAACTATAAAAAAAAGTACTTACTCCACAAAGAAAGCTCAATCATTTATATTTTGACAGGAGTATAAAAAAAATAAGCCAAACAAAAACCGTCTATTTTTTGAAACAGTAATCAATTATTAGCAAAGTCCAGAAATGTAATTTGACATTACAATTATGAATTATCTATTACTTTCTATACACCAAACATCAATAAACAATGCAATTTTTAGACAACATATTTTACCAAGAATGTCTTTAGACCATAGCTTAGAACAGACGCCGTGATAATTAATATTGTTAGGCGTCATACCTTTTGAAAATCATCCCAACTCCCTCTTAACTGTCGTCCCTCCCATTATGGAGCATTCAAAACAAAAGCATAAATTAACAATATATAATAACGAGTAATTGAGGAGATTATGCAAAAAGGGTTCCTACCACCATATTTACCTTCTCCACTCGGTCGAACCATACTAATAATTATACATTTCACGGTTTAAAATATTGTTTTCTTTTTAGTCAAACTTCAAGCAACAAAAACACTGCATTTAAATACGTAATTTGTATATTATACGGTAATCTTTTTGCGTAAGTAAGTCAGCAACACTATTTTGCATTCTAAGTGAAACTATTAGATAAGATGCTTAAACTTGTTTATTCACAAAACTTTTTTGATAAAGTAATCTCCTATTTATACTCTTTGCTTTTAATTTTTTCAATGTGCACAAAAACGTTTAAACACCATCGCTCGTAACCAATTATAACAATAAAATACTATATTATACAATTTACTATGTAGATAGATATTGATATTTAGGCAAAACAAATTGATAATACAATTTTTTATCACGATAGTCTGACAGATTTCCATGCACCTTATCTCTTAATAGCGATTTCAATCTGTTCGTGTCATATTGGTACACCTCTGTAATGCATTCAGCGTATCTTGTCGCAAATAAGAAAATTCCTTATGGTTTAATAAGAATTCATTTCAACGATTGTTAAACACGCACCCTCCCAGGTAATTCTTTACTGGACGCCATTTATTTTCTGACGATAACCTTGGGTCAAAAACTATATATATATATATAAATATACGTACCTATGTGTCTTAATCTAGTGCAGAACCACCGTTAAACTCTACTGGCGGGCGTGTAGTGTAGAGCCAATGAAAACTAAAACTCTTTTGTAAAAGTTTATGACTTTATTTTAGAGTTATTACGTGTTTTTAGAAATAAAAATACAACTATGTAGGAAAATCCGCAATTGAGACTGTTAACGGTCATTTATCAACAGTACAGCAAATTATTTGTAACAAATTGAATTCTGCGCTACAAGGAAGAATGCGGGTAAAACTCGTGCATCATGGCTTGTACAATATAAAACGTTAATTATATATATACTATATTAAACCTGAATTGAATTACTTAAACAAGGTTGGACAGGTTTAATACATTAAAACACTACATGGTACGTTAGCCCGAAGTACTAAAGGAACTTCTATCCTTTACTGTTACAATTAATAAAAGAAAAAGAAATAGAGGTTTCTAATTATATCTACTAAACGATCTATAGATTAAAACAAAAGTAGTTAATACTCTTAATTCAAATATTACATTACTAAAAACAACTACGCAAATGTAATCAAAATGATGTCTAGCTACAAATTTGACTCAAATTGGTACATACAATTCTCTTATCATTTGAAATTTCAATTAGATAATTTAATAAATACGTTAAAATATGTCGTTTAGAAAAATGAGCATTTTGCAGAGCATTTAACATAAAGCTTCTGTAAATTATAATGCTCTTTTCAGTCCTATGAAAATACTAAAAATACAATTTCATAAAACTATAATATCATTTTTAATGTTGGGTACCTATCCTGATGTTTTAAATGTCAAATTGTATTTTTTATCTATATTTTTCTAAAGTAATGGTATTTATAAATTGGACTGGCATAAAACTTTTAAGGTGCTTGTTTTGTGCTAAAATAAGTTCTCAATTATAAACAAATGTTATATATTGTTAGAAAAATTCCATTCTCTTTTCTCTGATTTTTCTCTTTTACTTCATTAAGTCCAAAATTCAACCAGAATATATATTGAGCAACACCACTATTCTGCGTTTTACCAACATAAAAACTGCAACTACTTTTTCCAAACCGTCTGTATTCCTAACAGAAAAGAACCAATTCGTAATCCACTAGGGTTCTACTCGTAGCTTGAAAATCGAAAATCGCAATGTAGAACATCCGTTAAACAGTAACTGAACTTTTATATGATAGACCGCACATTAGGTATGACACAGCTATAACAGTTCACATAACTAACTATTGCAAATAAATAATATCAGTTTTAGATAAATTCGTCATTCCTTATTGTCCAGAAATTGTGTCCATAGAATAATAATAACAGTAAAATACTAACAAAAATCAATACACATCGAAGAAAAGCTAGAAATCATTTTCATCGTTCCTGACTTATTTTTTTTGCGAAGGTTAAAAAAAACGTGTATTATTGCATACTAACGAGTCAAATAACGATACAGTATTAACAACGGGTTTGCATAAGAAGTAATTCATCGAATATACACTGACTAACAATAGTTAAAAAGCATAATGCATTTTTTTTCGTTTTAACATACAATAAAGATTAGCAAAATAATGTATATTTTCCACTAAGTACTAGTACTGTCAAACAGTTGCGAATTTCCGAGAACCGCATAGACACTAACAAAAGACACTAAATAAAAACAAGAAATCATTTAAAAATGATTATACCAAAACAATATATCTACTACTCATTGCTAATCAATTAGTGTGTCGAAAGTTTACAATCGATATTCGCGTCGTGATGGTTTCGTATAAACATCATATCCATTGCGGATAACATATACTTGCCACAAATCACTTTTCACAATCGTTTGTCTTTAAATAACAATATCGTATATTATAATATGCATGAGGCCATAGTTTTTCAAAATCCTCAATGATTAACACTAAATTGATGTACTCAAAGCACATTTGAAACCGGGACAACTCAGTTCCATATTTAATGTGTATGTATTTATATTTACATACATATCCGTTTTGTGTACACTCGTATACAGAAATATGTATTGTTTTGTGTACTTAAGTGGTATATGTTTAATAAAAAACAGTAACTTACATTTGTTTATGGCATAGATCCTTGGGTGACGGCTTGTAAAAGTATATTCCTGAAAGAAAAAAAAGGAGAAAATATAAAATAAAATATTTCATTTCATAAATTGCCAGATCCATTATTTTATGTAAAACCTTTTATTATTCATGTTGCGTGCATAAGAGTGGTATTTGTCTTTCGAACTATTCATCACTGACCTTAGAAAGGTTTCATATAGGAAAATAGATAGTGTTGGAGTTAAATATATTTTTTAAAAAAAAGTGCACTCATTAGTTAAATTGTTTTACTGGGTTAGACAATGCGGTCACTACTATAATTAGTATACATATATTAATAATGTAAGCACTAAGCCCCTATAGTTATCGTGTGCTTATAAGCTTAATAGTACCATTTGTACAATCAGCGAGTATTCACCGAGTGTACTTACCAATAATATGATATTAATTACATTTTTTGACAATTAAGTTATCTCAGTAATTAATATAATTGTGTCTTTCCGATTCGCGTAAAAAACAATCTTAAAGGCACTAATTAACATTCAGCAGGTTCACAATTTGTAATTAAAAAAATAGCTATTTAAATTTAAGTCTAAACAAATGATTTTACCCAAAAACGAAACTTATCGCCGTATAGCCTAAAGAGGTAATAGAAAATTAGTCGTTATTCATTTAAGATTCAGGTCAACGGTCTGAATGCACTCTTGTGTGACCTGATGTTTTTCGTACGATATAATATGAATTTATCCCTAAGCGAAAATTAAGGTAACAAATGACAATGTATTAATGTCTCGTTTTGGTTATCGAACCCATTTAATTTGTATTAGAGAAATACAGGTACAGTTTAGTTCAACGACGACTGACATAAAAAGTCTCATCAAATCTAGCAAAATTACAAAGTTAAAATTTTCAAAACCATATTAATTTATGAAAAACATATTTTCAAAAGTAACAAGTGTTAAAACAAATATTATGTATATTATTCAAAGCACGTGCTACACTTATAGCAAATTTGGATTATTATTTTGTTGAATGTTTGAAAACCCTTTAACTGGGGGATGTTCCTATTACCACTTTTATAAATGTAACTATGTAGAGCTTGCTTTTGAAAACCTATATAGATTTTTATTTAAAACTACTAAAACTATAAATATAAGCAAGGTATATTTACTATTTAATATAATATATATATATATAAATATATTTTTTTTTACATTTGCTAATTCGCCTTAGTTGTATACCAAAACTTATTTTAAAATCATTTTTCAAAAATGTGACAATGTTGTACCTACATAAATAAACGCATACACACAATGTCATAAGTTTTAAAAATAATATATTGTTTTCTATTAAAAAAAAAATTGATCTTATTCCAAGCGTATAAAGGTTACAACTGTATCTTTCAAATACTGCGGATGTAGCCAATAAACAGTATCATTGTCGGAAATGGTGGTAACCGAGAGACGGCTATTTATTCGAAGTCTTAATAAAAACATCATAATATATAATGAAAAGAACATTTTAATTCGATCATTGTTGCTGTTAATTGAAACGAATAGGGGAGAACACGACTAGAGCTTACTTGTAGGTGCAGAAAGATAAACATGGTAATTACAACAATCATAAAATAATATTAAATTCCATCTTATAACTTCTACTAAACAAGAAACTGAAATAACAATTTTAAAAGCTCTATGAAAACGTATAAACAAAAATGTAATAATGAGTTAACCATATATTTTAATAGGTACAAAAAAATGTCTCTAGAAATATTTTTAGGTGATACCTATTTCCTAACAGATAAATATTCAAATATATAAATAAATAAAAATAAAAAAGCAAAAACTGCAAAATATTGATACTATAAAAAACCTATGTCCAACTAACACTGAAAATGACTTTAGCCGTACAACCCAACATATCATTTTGTACATATTATGTGTTTATATGTATATATATGTGTGTGTGTGTATTATTGTATATAATGAGTTTAAGCAACGATACGAAAAATGTACTGGAGTTCATAAAAAACATATTGGAAATTTCCTTTTATTAATTATTTGTATTTTTATATAAGGTATATTTAATATATAGCATAAAATATAGAACCTATTAAGTTATCCATTTATAACACTTTACTACTCTTATTCCTAGTGAAATATAAGCCATCAAATTTGTTTTGTTTAATAGGGTGTTGTATTGCAATAGGCCCATTATCTTTCTATTTAAAGCCTTATTTATATAAATATAATGATTTTAACATTTTTATTATTTTATTAGAATTTGTTACAATACATATGCATTAGTTAATTGTTTAATTATGACTATGAATGTGATTTAATTAGCCTGAATAAATTTACATTTTTTAACTTCGCAGTTATTGACTTTTAAATATATAATAAAAGCAAGTTTTTTAGAAATAGTGACGCTGTCATATAAGAACCTATACATATAGGCCGCTCACTTTATTTTAGCTTCAATTTTAATTAATATTAAAAAATTATTTTCTCTATACCTACTACCTAGATAGAACATTGGACAATTTATTACATTGTAAAACCAGTAAACTAGTTTCGTTTACCAATACAATTATAATCATGTTATTAAAAAAACTTATTATATGTGAGCTTGTTCCGTAAAATATAATAAATTAAACAGTTTTTCATGCATAGTTTTAGGGGTTTATGTATGAAAGTTAGACCAATGGTATATCTATAATGGATAGAGAATGGGGCTATAGCATATACAATTTTCTCAAAAATTTGTAGTCAAACATTTTTTTTATTAGGGAAAACCCAAAAAAAAGAAAAAATTACACTGGCCGTAGTTAGTTTTTAGGTTGTTATGTGTGGTTTAACCATACTACCCTCAGATTCCCATCGAAGCGTTTATTTAAATGTGAGTTTATCACTTTCAGTTATAATAATTCCTGTAGACCTGTGACCTCTCCATCCCCACTATGCCCCGATACCCACTGTACTAGTTTTTTACTTTAAATTTCCATAATTTTGTTACTTGCGAATAAAATTAAGTTGCCATTACCTTTTGCACCACTTCAAAGTCAAGCGTATTTTAATAAACGATATTTTTAAATTTAAGTATGTGTTAATTTTCTTCATATTTTAAAGTCAGATTAAAAGTTTTTATTCTTTTGACAGTATTTTCTGTTTAGGTAGACTTTAGTCTTAGTCTTAAAAAAATGTAATATTTTCTTACATCAATTTTAATGTCTCTGAGCCATTTGGTATTCAAATTATTTTTGAGTTAGCTTAAAATGTCGTCTCAGTTACATTTCTGTACGCCTTTAATGGCTGTATCTCATAATTCATAATAAAAATCAAATAATTTTAAACAATTAACGCGTAAAAAGGTTGACCTAGGTAACTCATTGAATTTATGTATTGTTATCTACTTTTCCTGGATCTTTTAACTATACAAAGTATTAAAGATAACAACTATTTTGTCTAATAAAATTGTTAAAAAGCTAAAGCTTTTGATCTGGCTTTAGCAATACTACTACTAAAAAACACCTTTCACTATAGAAAATACTCTAAAACCATACAAAATCTGCCGCTAAATATTACGTTTAAAAATATGTACGATCTATTTACATACACTTTGTTAGTTGATAGGGGTTCATTTTTAATGGAACAATATTGCGGGTTATATTCTCACTTGCTTATGTTGCAATAACGATGCTATTGTTAATATACTTATATTTTGTTATAGCAAACATATTTTGTCGTCATTTTCATTAACAATGAAATTATTATTTATTTTGTCGGATCATTAATTTCGATACTTTAATAAACTCGATTAAAGTAACCATTAACATAAGCCACCGGAATAACCAAAGTTATAACTTTCTTCTTCTGGTAACTGATTATATTAAAAAAAAAAATGTCTAAAATCTAAATACAAAGTGGCAAAATTACATGTTAATACAAGGTGATTTTTTTGTCATGAACCACTCAATATCTCATAGGGTTTAATAAGAAATAACAATTTTTTTTTTCATATTGTTTTTATACAATGTGATCTCAATTTTTCACACATTTTTTCGTTTTTACTCCGTTCCCAACTTAGTTTTTTTGATAGCAACTTTTGAAACTTAAATGGTAACGTATATATTTTATTAATTTTTTAAGTTGAGAATAATGTACTAAAAAATTTACTGGTCGATAACCAGTTTCGGATAACTATTTTTGGTCCATATAAAATATACCCGAAATATTTCCTATAAGTTCTTATTTAGACCTCTCATCAGATAAAACAAAGGATTAGCATTGTTTAGCACAAAGTGAATTTTTATAACAACACATACAATTTTCTAAAGCTTGAGTGAAACAATACATTTTCTCATACTAAAAATTATAAAATAATTTAATAATGTTTATAATATTTCAATGGTATAATTTAAAAATGGTAATATTGTAAGATCAATTTAAAAAACTCCGTTATTGATTTACCGCAATAATAAAAGCTACTGAATGACCAAAAATGTGCACAACTTCGTTATTGCCATTATAGTTTATCAGTAAACTGTATTATCATTGTCATATATTTTCTTTCTTTTTCAAATATTTTTTATTTTTTTTTTGGCAAGTACCCCAGCTTTACAAAATAAAAACCAAAATGTCTTTGATGCAATTACCAAAAGTACCAGCTAGATTATATTAGTGGATTCGACTAATTATTGGTCTTCTTTGGTCGGTTCCGGTTCACTACGTATGTTTTCCATAATCGTTTTCCAACAAAATGTAGTTAAACTTATCATTTTTTATACGCCAATTATAATATTGTCATTTGTCGTAGGCAATAGGTATACTCCAGGATGAACAATAGGTACTTGAAATACAAGAAAAGTTTGATGGAAAACAAATTTAGTTTTCCCGCTAAAAATGTGGCTGTTGTAGTCTGACCAAAGAAAATAACTATCAACAAAGAATCCTCATTATTGTACTAGGAATTCAGATTTTCTAAAAAATTGCCTATACTTTGTTCCTGAATAAATAGGTGATGTGACGTCGTCTTAAACGGCGTCGTATAATACGCGAAA